ATGTGAACTTTGGAGACTGAGTGCTAAACTGACCAAGTAATGTGTGATTTCCAACTCTTCTGGACTTGTCCATTATTTGTACACTATATGAGATAAGTTTTTGCACGTCATGAAATTGAAGGTTTGGTGTTGTTTCTTTTTTTTTTTTGGTACCGGGGATCAAACTCGGGTCCTTCGCTTGCGCAGCAGGCGGCGAAACCACTGAGGTAAATAAATCCCCGGCCCAGTTTGGTGTTAGTTCTGTGGATCATTTTGGAGGACAGTACAAGGTGGAATGGAAAAATACAGTGAGTGTTTTTACCTTTTCAAAATTTATTACAGTGAGAAACACATTGTCATTAATCTCCCTCAAAATATTCCCCCTCACTTTAAACACACATCCCATTGTTCGTGCCACTGGCTGAAGTAGTTCTGGAAGTCCTCTTTCATGAATGTCTTTAGTAGCACTGTCATGGCTGATTTGGTTCAAGATGTTTACCTTTCATGGTCCTTTTGACTTACGGAGAAGAAAAAGAAATTGCCTGGTCCAGACGTGGTAAAGAAGGTGGATGAGGACACTCATTAAAGTTTTTACAAGCCTCCCTTTCTGTTGGATGGCACTTAGGAACAGCATTCACCATTATTTTTTATCACACCTGTAAAGAAAGGAAAATGGCAAGAATGATGGGATAAGTGTTTTTGAAGTGAGGGAGAGGATTTTGAGGGAGATTAATGGCAATGTGCCTTTTACTGGAATAAGTTTTTAAAATTTAAACATTTACCGTATGCGTTGATCACACCTCATAAAAGGAGCTCACACTGCTAATAAGCCATTTTAGGGCAGCCTAAAACAGCCTGGATGATAGGGCTGTTATTCCAACTGCTCTTTGAGAAAAATGAAACTTAGTGCATTGGGTGAGCTCCCTCAACCTGTGATTTAGGTCAAAGGGTACTTACTGGTAAGGATCCATAGAGAAATATGCAAGACTGAGAAACCAGAGCTGACCAAGCCCCCAGAACCACACTGCCTAGGGACTTCTTCCCCAGACCCAGGCCTGACTCTGATCTATCCAGTATTTCTAGGGACACTGAGGCAGCCTGGTATCATTGGAAGAGCATCGGTCTTGGAATCAGACAGGTCTAGATTTGAGCGAGGTTCTGCCACATAATTTCCTCTTTTGTAAGTTGTAGATATCACCCAGTGCATAAAGGTAAAGATCAAATAGCATAAACTGCTATGTGCTTGGCACATAGCATCTGAACTTAATGAATGATGGGGTTTTGTATTTTAGTTCTTTTTTAATGAAAAAAAGTGGAAAAATACTCAGTTTTATCGCCCTATCACTTAGCCCCTTAGCACTGGCAGTGTGTGTTTTCAGCTCTTACAGGGACTCATCCATTATTTAAGGCTTTATATGCTATGGTGCTGTATATTTTAATGAATAATCTGTTGTACATGGTGTAATGTTGTACCACTTTGCATTCTGATTTTTTTTACATTATAAACTATTTTAACCTAAATTCTGTACATAATTTTAGTGAACATGCCATAATTTGCATAAAATTCTTATTGTTGGACACCTAACAGTAGAAAACTAGTTGAATAATGAGAGTGCACTCACATAATAAAACACTTAGCACCATTTAAAAAGGTATAGGGAAGACATATCTTAACATAGAAATGTGTTTGTGATTATATAAAAATGAGATGGTTTCACCTAAAGGCTGACTGCCTCTCACATCTATCTTGACATTCACTGACTGTCTCAGTGGCTTTCAAATTTCAAGGAACCTCAGAGCCACCAAAGGGGCTTACTAAATGCTTCAGGCTTTACCCATGGAGTTTGATTTAGAAAATAAAGGCTGGGTCTCAGAAATCTTCTTACAAGGGTCCCAGGTGATTCTGATGCAAGAATGGCCCACCTCCCATTTCTGCCTGGTGAAGCTTTCTTTCTTTTCCAAGCTTCTCCATTGCCTCCTGAACTCCTTGTTGTCTACTTCCTTGTATTGTACATTTTGGTGAATCCTCCTAAACTGTAAAAGTTTTCCTGATCCTCCAAGCAGATTCAGCTGAACACTCATGTCACAGCCCTGAGATTTGTGTCAAATCCTGAGTGAGTTACTAAATATAAATACTGGATTATCTGGAATCCAAATTTTGTTTACTTTGTAGTGAAAAGCGGCCGAGCACTTCAGAACTCTTTAGGACACTTGTTATTAGCTCAAATTCTGGGGAAGAAAAGTAGTCTTTACAACCTTGGTAATAACAGGAAAATCTTGCTTAAATTACTCTTACCTTGGCAATCAGGTTGGTAAGAGGAAATGCTTTGTCTTTTGTACACCTACACTGGTCTAGCCCAGAGGTGGCCAGTGTTAGTTGGAGAGGTCGGTCATTCCTAAAGGATTCTCAGGCTAGTGGTTGGTTTTCATTCTCAGGCTTTGTGCCCCTGAAGTCATTCAGGGTGAGTTTTTCATCTTGCAATTCAGTTAGAGTTCATAAGCGCTGAATCGGGATTGAGTTACCCCCTAACGTACTTCTTCACTTAGATTTGATTGGTTTGGTGTCCTTCCATAATCTAAATAATACTGTATATCCATGTCAAGGTTTGTGTTGTATTCTGCTATCTTGTATGTAATAGACCAGCTTTTGCAGACTTGATAGTTATAAATAATGATTGATAAATATTATGTTGAGATAATATTAGATTTTTCTCTTGCCTGTGAGGGAAGACCATCCTCTATAAATCTGTTATTATTCTAACTTCAAAAGCATTAATAGTTACAAAAAAGAATTCCCCAGAAGTAAACTAAAAGAGCTAAGTTTAACAGCTCACTCATAAATTGCCGCTTGTTTCACATGAAGATGTTAACTTTGTTGGATTGAAGTTCAAGATGACCAGAGAATGGAGACTGTTAGGGGAATAGAAGATCCTAGTGAATCAAATGCGTCTGGCAGGGAATGACCAAATAGTGTCCACATGGCAGAATCATTCTTCAGAGCCCTGTTCAGAAGCATCATCTATAAAATCATACATCTGTAAAGCATTTTATAATCCCATCTTGGAAAAAACCATTTCTCCTTTCATTCTATACCTACAACAATAGCTCATCCACATTTTTGTGATATGTCACACTGTGCTGTGATTATGTTTGTGTGTTGCTATTCTTCACTGAAACAGAGATTCAGGGACTAGGAATATAGCTCACTGCTGCAGCAAGAGCTCAGCATGCTGAGTTCAATCCCCAGCACTGCTCAAAAGATTCATTGGGCATAGAGCATTTGATCCAGCTTGATCCAGGTTGAATGACTGGATATAGTAGTTTTCATAAGTGAATGAACAAATGAATGACCACTAAACAGGGAACATCAGTCAAATAAACTGTATTTTCAAGAATTCCTGTAGTTTCTAAATTTAAAGCATCACCCAGTCTTGACTACTTTGCCTAAAACATTTTTCTCATTACGAGTAGATAGTGAAAAAGATGACGCCAATATCTGCTTCTCCCTCAGTTCCTCATGACAATTGAAGACTTCCCAGCCTGTGGATTCTCTGATTTAAAAAACTAGATCTGAGGCTGAGGCATGAGGATCATTAGTTTGAAGCAGCTTGGCAACTTTACCTTCTTTCAAAATAAAATTTAAAAAGCAAAAAGAAGCCAGATCTGACATCCTGCAAAATCCTCCTCAACATTAGCCCATTAGTTGCTGTTAAATTCCTCTTGTGGGCTGTTGATTTCACATAATGCTTAGTCATCACAGATATTTGAACTTTCTGTATATGTTTGCTATGTAGTCTTCAACTCTATTAAAAAGACAATTTTAGATCCAAATAATTTTTTTCATTTTTACTGGTTTGAGAACCAAGCCCCTTTTGAGAGACAGGTAGTTTTTGTTAGTAGGAGTACTAGAATTGAAGCCATATAGACCAAGGTTCAGTGCTTGGCTCTGGGGCTCAAATCACAGCCTTGTGTTGGCTGTGTGATTATGAGCAGTTTACTTAATATTTTTGAAGATCAGTTTTCTGATTTGTAAAGTCTCATTGGTAATCTATCTCAGTGGTCACAACAAGGGACTGCTTGGGATTACGTGAACCAGAGTACCGCTGTAATGTCTGCACAGAGGAAATCGTTAGTCTTCTTGTCTCTACCCTTTCCTGCCCAAATTACAATCTATGACAGAGCTGGGATTTAGATGTTTTGCCCGGCATTGTTGTAGTTTCTAGCTAACAGAATTCACACACCTCAAAGACATACTGACTTTAGTAGACAGAGGATCAGCTTGTTGAAAGTAAATGCTTTGGCCAGGGATTTAGCTCAGTGGTACCGCGCCTCCCTTGCAAGCTCAAGGTCCTGAGTTCGATCGCTGGTTCCAAAAGAAAAAGTAAATGCTTTGTCTTTTGTGCACCTATTCTGGGCTAGCCTGAGATAACCAGTATTAGTTGAAGGAGCCATGTCACCTCAGCATTTGTGTTTTTTTGTTTTGTTTTGTTTTGTTTGGTACCCTTGCGCTTGCGCAGCAGGCGGCGAAACCACTGAGCTAAATCCCCGGCCAATCCTCAGCATTTGAATACAAGGTTCAGGGTTGCTTACTTAAAAAACAACCTCCTTCCTCAATTAAATGTTTTATTGCTGTTGCTTTTTTTTTTTTCACTTTTTACTGGAAGCTATGGCTCCCTTCCAGTCAACCATCAACTGTAACTTTGTATGACTGTATACCTTACAAGATTGTTTCTGTGGGGGTCTAGAATCTCATAGTAAAATATACAATTATTTTAGAAAAATAAGATCTATGTAACCTAGTATATGTGTTCAAGTTTTAAAAGTCACATTCTAGCATAGTATTTGTGTTAAATAGAAAGGATTTTCTTAAATTCCGGCAGTAAATGAAGAGCATTTTAAGAATGGAAATGTTGGTCATCAGTTGGGAGAGGCAGCATCGTTGGTGTCCTATTGTCACTCCTGCAGAGTTCATTTGTCATTTTATGAGACAACTTATTTTTCCCTTTTTCTTCCCTGTAAAGGTAGAAACCTGTGGGTCCTTGTTGTGGGTCGATTTCCCAAGGAGCACAGAGTTGGGATTCCAGAATTCAAATACGTGGCAAATATGCATGGAGATGAGGTATGTACATCGTGTGAATGTCTGAATCATCACCAGGCAGCCTCCCCTCAGGTCTCATGGGCTCTGTGTGAATGCTAAAGAGGAAGCATGGAGAAGTCTCATACACTGTAGCGAAGAAGCAAGGCCCCAATAGGAATTCCCATTGAGGCCTTCTGCGAGCATTTATGGGCCAGGATTTGAAGACATTTGGCTGTGTGCTCAGGGGCCTGGGAGAGTAGCCTGAGCTGTTGTTGTGCTTGAGGATGGAAGAATAATGGTTCCCCAGCTCAGAACTCCTGCCAGCTGATCCCTTCCAACCCTTCCTGGGTTGATTTTCCCACCTCCTTCTAGGCATTAAGGAGATCTAGCCCAGGAGCTCCATTATGTTTGAACTCAAAACAGTCAGAAGGTCCCAGATACCTATCCAGACTCTTCACATTTGGCTTTTTAAATTTCTTTGTGTCACTCTTTTTTTCTTTTTTTTTTTTTTGTACCAGGGATTGAACTCAGGACCTTGCCCTTTCAAGGCAGGCGCGGTGCCACTGAACTAAATCCCTGGCCCTGTGTCACTCTTCATCTAAAATTCAATATTTTTGATGTTCATGTTTAGAGAATCACATTTAGGGTTCTCTGACTCCTACCATTAAGAAACATTGTCAAATTCCTTAATAGTGTCTTACTACTTTTCCCAGTTAGAAGAGCTCAACTCTATTTTTAGTTTGTTTTGCAGAATACCCTGTAACTTCTCTTACCTACCCATTCTTCCCACACAGTTGAAGATGTCCACTGTTCTTTCTTCCCCTAGTTCTTTAGAATATTTTAAGAACATGACAATTGCAGTACTTTGTGTTTATTATAGCTCCATATAATTGGACAACCAAGGAGAAGGGAAAAAAGCGCCCAGGGAAATTTACATGGGAATATGTGGAGCATTCTCAATTTTTTTTCTTGAGAAAGGGGTTCACTATGCAGTTCAGGTTGGTCTTGAACTCACTATGTAGCCCAGGCTGGCCTTGAACTTGCAGTGATCCTCCTGCCTCAGCCTCCCGAGTGCTGGGATTACAGGTGTGCACCACCATGGAGCACCCTCTATAAAACACATTTAACTTCAAGGAGTTTCAGAGTAAATCATATTCCCATCCAACAACGTGCTGACTTGTTAAACACTCCAGATTTTCCATAGTGTAGGTGACATGCTGAGCTTCCTGACCTAGTTTAACATTCCCCAAACCCAGGCTCTATAGGAACTGGCTCCACCCTTCCTAACACACACAGTCTACCCTGACCAGGCATGCTGCCCAACCTGTCCAACTGAGAAGAGCTAAGAGGCACACACCTGCTTCCAAGAAGGAGTCTGTCTTGATTTGAGGGTAGGTAAAGCCCCATCTGTGGCTTTTTGAGTGCAACGGATTGTTTCTTTAAAAGGCGGTATTGCTGGGAGTCTGACCAAAGTTGCTTTTAGTAAAAAGAACTGACTGTTATACACAGCAGCCAGGACTTCTTTTTCCGTTTGCTATCTAGTCTATGAAATGAAGGTCCCTTAGAATCTATTTTTAATAAGAGACAGATGGCACTTCCTGCCCCCAATACTTTAATTCCTGATATATCAGAGGTTGTAGTCTGCTACTCAGAAATTAATCCTCAGAACTGAATCTAATAATTACCAAATATAAGCAAGAGACTTTCCTCTCACTCACCCCCAAATTTGCTTATATTTTTCATGCACTTTCCCACATTTCTGGAATCGTTCTCTCTGGGTAGTGTTCCCTGTCAAGTCAGGACGCTCTGGAATACTCTGGTTCTGAGGAATGTTGAGAACTGAAATTAGGTGGAGAGAAAATTCTCAGTGTGTTTCGGAGTAGGGACCTGAAGCACAGATACCCCTTTGTATTCCAGTTGGTGACAGTGTCTGGGGCTTTATGAGGCTGTTAAGAAAATTATTATTCTGAATTTGAGATCTTGTGTACCTACTGCCACTAGGAGCTGGAGAAAGAGCTGCCCTAAAGTAGAATTCAGAGTCAATCTGAGCACACCTTGCTCCCTTAGATCTTGTGGAACTGAAAGCATTTTTAATGTTTTCCAAAGCTTTTCAATGCTTTCAATCCTACTGAAAAGCAACATAGCTAACATTTTAGGCCAGTGGTTCTTAACCTTCTTGGAACGTATTCTTGCCAAGCTGGTACAAACTTGACCTCTGACCTCAAGGTCCACAGATCTTATAAGAGTTTATAGATCTCGTATGGAGAATCCCAATACACATACATACACACTGAGTAGCATAGTAGACAGAATTGACCACACTATTGTAAAAACATTTCCTCTCAACCCTGAACCTCACCCCATTGTGTGTGTGTGTGCGTGCGCAAGTGCATGCGTGTGTGGTTTCTGCCCTTGAGACTGTGGCTAAATGACAGTGAGCAGCAGCAAGATCAGGAGGATCTAGTTCTGTCCATCACATTGCTGTGGAATCACCTTGCGGAGCTCACAGACAAGGTGCCCACGATGAGCCATTGTTGCCCAATATGCGCACTTTTTAGAACAACATAGGAGAAACATTGCCAAGGTTCCACCTTTCCATTTTAACAAGACTATCAGGTGTTTTTCTAGTTCATCCAGGCCCTGGTTTACATACATTGGAATCCTAAATTGTAGAAAATCCAATGCTGGGTTTAATTTATGCAGGCTCCTAATTGACACACATAAAATCTAGTCACTTTTTGAAGGGTTGGTGCCAGCACACACAGAATGGGACTCTGCCTTTCCCTTCATCCACAGATACTCGGATTGTTTAGGGGTAGGATTTTTGTTCCCTTCCCCTTCCCCACAACCTCATTCTGCTACTGGCTTGCTTCATAGAAAAACTATAATCAGGGGCAACTTATGGTCCCCTTCTGTCTCTCTTAGACAAAAGCTATCTTTCAATAAATTTTTTCTACTCTTAAAGGAAAAAGAAAAACTATTATCAATAATCTGAAATTGAGCTTCCTGAAAATAGTGGCATGCAAAGTCTCCACCCTTGTTCCTTCTTGAAGTTCTCCCTGCTCTGTTTATTACCTATCTTCTATCCCATGATCTTCAAATTTTGCACACACAAAAAGTATCTTACTTGAGCAATCCCTAATTTAGTAAGAGCTGTGTAATTCTTCTCTAGTTAAAATACTGAAGGGAGGCATGATTATGTGCTTTAAAAAATGGTTGTCCAGGGCAGGGGATTTAGCTCAGTGGTTTTGCCACCTGCCTCGCAAATGCAAGTTCGATTCTCGGTACAAAAACAAAGAGAAATGGGTGCCCGGAGTGTTAGGCTAACCCAGCAACAAGCAAAGAATAGGTCAGAGCCCAGGTTCCAGCTCAGATTCCCCGACCTCAGAGCCCAGGTCCAGATTCCTGTGGGAGCAGGTATTCAGTATGTGTTTATTAAGTTTACCTGAATTGCAGTTATGATATTTATTTGGTTTTGCCCAGGGATTTTTTTTTTTGTATGAATAAGCTTCTGTTTCTTAATTATCAAATGAATTACTTTCACCATGAGTATTTATTTGGGTATAGACTTTTGAATAATCCACATCACATTTAGAATTTCCCATCTAGTGACATTTTTTAGAGTTTACTGTATTCCAGATATATAGGTTGAAAGAAAAAAACATTCCCTGGATAATTGTGACTGTACTTTTCAACTAGAAATAAACAATAATAAAGGACAAATGATTTTTACACATCTTCTAGGTATATGGGACAGTTTATGAGATGCAATTTGTATATTTAATTTTTTGTGTTTAGAAGGTATTTTCATGGCTTATACAGTCAATAGGACACAATATCTGAAACTGTGCCAGCCCTGGATAATCTGTGATGTGTATTCAAAATGTGATAGAGGTTCCAAATTTATTAAAGCAAAGCCGAAAAGTAAAGCTTGTCTTTCCAAATGTTTCTACTTCCCAAATTCTTTATATCTTGCCCAAGGATCCAAAGGAAAGGCTTAGATGGTGGAGTAGGGAAGGGGATAGTGAGTCCGGCAATCGTCATGTATGTGAGTAGCCTTAGGTGGCACAAATTGGACAGTGCAGGTGTGCAGTGTGATGCGGGCTCTGACCGCAGGCAGGGAAAAACAGAGAAGATATTTTAGATGATGTAATGTTTAGGCTTCCCCTTTCCCCTTTTTATGGTGCGGAGGATCAAATCCAGGGCCTTGTGCATACCAGGCAAGTGTCCTACCACTGAGCCACACCCTTATACTGACATTTGAGCAGGATTAGCTAGACAGTCAGACAGATGAATTAAATCTGTAACTCAACATTGTGGTGCCCCAGCACTGACAGGTTTGTTTTCCCCCAGAAGTTGCCTTACAGTGTGGCATTTTAAAAACAGATTCTATCGTTAGGGTAGCTGAAGTTTTTGTGCTTCCCCCTCCCACCTTTTCTCCCCACCACCTGTGTTGTGGCTTGTTCTTCAAAAATGTCCCACTGTTTGTAAATGCTCTTTGAAGAGCTAGACTCATTTTTGTCTATCTGGCAAATTCCAAGTTGGCTGAATGGAAGTAAACCTGATAGTGTATTTTCTGCTTTCTGGGTTATTGCCATGTTAACTACCACTTGATTCGCCAGTGAAAGGCTCCAAAGGCTGCTGTTGCTTGCTGTTGGCGATCCTTTCATGAAGTCTGCACCTCACACAAAGGAAGTGAGCAGGCCGAATACAAGCCTGCTTAGGCTGTTGGAGACTGTTTTGACCACATTCTTTCTTCAAATTTGAACTCTCCAAGGTTTCATATTCAAAGACTTAATTCTAAAGTCTTAAAATTAGGAAGGGAGGGAAGTTGATACATAAAACATGAATGAGTATTTGGAACATTTATATTAAGGTTGGGATGAATTAATTTGAATAATGTTTGGCATGAATCTACTATTTCAGAGGCAGCAAATATGGCCCAACAGGAAAAGAAAAAAAAAAGAGGATTTTTAACTTTCTCTGAAATTTTATCTGTTTACTGCAGCATTTTTTAAGTTATCTGACTGTTAGTTGGTTCTTTATCATCTTTCCAAGGTTTACATTTGCCCTCTGCAGTTAACTTTTAATTTGTTGTAGAATATTGAGACAAACAGAAAATACTTTGGTTACACACTTACTTCCCTAAAAGAATCATGATTTTATTGCTTTTGTAAAAGTGCCAAAAGTTTTCTTTAATTTTAAACATGATACTAGAAAAATAAAAGGAAATAAGTTATTCAGAATACTGTCATCCAGAATAGGTGCTATTAATATTTATTGAATATCATTGTAGACACTTATTTCTGTGGTAAGACAATGGCAGAAATTAAAAGAATATAAAATAGAACATGTGTCACATTATGTATGTTATTAAGATGTATGAAATTTAATAATATTTAAATTTATTAACAGAAGAATTAAACTGAACAGAAACTACAATAACTGGTGAACATGATAAATATTTTCTCAAAACAAATTGCCAAAAGTTCTTTCGAAATAAGAAAAAGATTATGAAAGACTTTGAAACCATAGTAAATACATATTTAGAGTTTGATATCTTCTGACCCCTTGCTATGAAAAGTGAAGAAATTAGCACTTTGAAAATTCCTCCCTCTGCTCTTTCCCTCTTCTTCAGCCCCATTCCCTCTGCTAATTACAAACCTTTAACCTTTACATTCTGTGCTATACCCTTTCCACAGTTGCTTAATCTAGTTCTTTATCTCAAATGGATTTTGATTCAACCTGGACTCTACTCATTTGCTTTTGGTTGGGTAAATTTTATTGCAGCTCCTGATTTGAATACTTGCTACTAGAGAATGTATTACGACTCAGGTAGCGAAGAGATTCCCAGCATAGGAATTCTGCTATCCTCCCACTGTGTATTTGACATGGGACTTGGATCAGTCTTGGACTTTTCTGACTAATGTGTCCTGTGGTCTCTAACTACCATTTAGAGATTTTAGGAACTACAAGGGTCACTTCTTCCTTCCTTTTCTTTGCCTGTTTCTTTCTGAGAAAGCTCCTTGTGCAAACTACCCTTTCATACTTGGAATCCCCAGACTTCCCACCCTGCATTTTGGAAAGCCAGTGATTACTTGGGTTCCCAAAACATATTCTACCTGAGCACTGCAACCCGTGTAGGGCATCTGCAACAATTTTTGTATATTAACTTGTAAGATCTTTTTCCAGTGAAAATTTTAACTGTAAAAACAAGTCAAGATAGTAGAGGAGGAAGATAAAAAAAGAGTAGGAAGTCAAGATTGATTGATTGATTTTTGCTCTGAATTTTATGACTGCCCATGAAGGTATAATTTGCATATCCCAAATTTTCTTAGTGCTAGTCTCAATTACTCCATGTTCATTAGCATGACATATGTATAAAATGTGGTCTGTTCATGTGCCAGTGAGGGGGATACAGTGAGGAGTTATCATTCAAGGATTACTCATCCTTTGTTGCCTAATGCTACTCCTTTAGTGGAGAGCAACTGAAAACTCTTTTGAGGCTCCATTAAATCTTTTCCCGTGACATGTCAACAATAATTTCTCTGCAGCAGTGTCCTTGTTTAACCACCCACTGCCCCTGATTTCCCATTTATTAGCGCTTCAGCAACATCTGGTCTTCAGAAGCACATTCCTTGAGCCTAGCATTATTGGTAGTCTAATCAACTCTTCAAGTTATAAGGTTAAAATCTAAATAAGTTTTTTTAGGTAATAAAAGTAAGCCAGTGTCAGTGTCAATGGGCTAAAGTGAGGTCCAGTCAGGCAAGTTTCCCAAAGAAAAGAACACACATGGAGCAGAGATTACAAAAAGGCAGGAACCAACTTTAATTTCCAGCATCAGAGCATGAGAGTTGGAGCTGCAGCTCCAGCCCTCAAGAGCTGTGTGTTTTTATAAGCTTTTTTGAAACACAGTTAGACAAAACAGCTGCACAACCTAGCATAGTTATGTGGTATGTGCGTGGTCGTCCATGCTGATTTATTATTATTATAACAAACTCCATCATGTACCTATGCTAAATGACAAACTTGCATCCTTGGTGCCCTCTGATGCCCTCAGACACCCAGGCTTTGACTCATCTGCCAGCAGCCCCCTACAGCTGGGCATGGCATCACAAGCCTAAAATCTCAGCTCTAGGAGGCAGAGGTGGGAGGATTTCAAGTTTAAGCCCAGCTTGAGCAACTTAGAGACTTAGCAAGACCCTAACTATAAATAAAAAGGGCTGGGAGGGGGGATCTCAGTGGGAAGGCCCTGTGTTCAGGCCCCAGTACCACAAGAAAGGAGGGGAAAGAAGGGGAGGGGAGGGGGAGGGAAGGAAGGAAGGAAAGAAAGAAAAGAAAGGAAAGGCAGAAGAAAGAAAAAGAAAAGAGGAGAGAATAAATCTCTTGTGAGTATTATAGAGGAAGAGCTCTCACAGTACTTCACTTTTTAAGTCCTTGTTGATACTGAAGATAATTTTAAGTGAAGACGGCAGTTTAAGTTTTAATAATCTTGCTTTTACCTAGTGTATGTTAGAAAAATATGTCTCTAGCAAAGTGGTAATGATACAAAATTTTATTTTTAATGCAAGCAAAAAATGAGCACATCTAAAGAAAATATAAAGTAAATAATAGTATATGGATAATATGTGCATATGGCAAAAAATTATGAAGATGATATCTAAAATCCTCATGTTTCAAAAACATAAGAATGTGGAAATCAGAAATACATAGAGAAAGCAAAAATTGCCCAAATGCACAGGAGGAGAACTTGTAAACAGGAGAATATGGAAATCAGAAATTATTTAAATTATGCTTATTAAAATCTGTCATTTTTAATGCGGCAATGGTTTTCATGTGTGCCTCACATTCTCACAGAGCTGCACAGTTCCCTACCTTCTCCGTAACTCCTCCTTTCCTCCACAAAATAGTTTAGAAGGCAAGCAAATGGAAAATGTTGTCATAAGAAGGACCTTTGCTCTAATTCATTTTTAAAAGGGTGAATTATTCTGAGTTCTGTCCTCAGCACCAAGAAAAAAAATAAGTTTTTTACCAAGCATTTTAACTTTTACTACCAGCGTACCCTGTGATCGATTGCAACTTGCCAGATTGTCAGTGTGCTTGAGTAACAGTGGCCTCACAAACTAAGTTTGGTTTAAAGCATCATGTGCAGAATCCCATGCTGAGGGAGTCATTATTGGAGAACTGTTTCCCTTGTTGCCTCTGACTTAGTAACACCTCTCTTCTCTTTCACCCACAGACTGTCGGCCGGGAACTGCTACTCCATCTAATTGACTATCTCGTAACCAGACATGGGAAAGATCTTGAAATTACAAATCTAATCAACAGTACCCGGATACACATTATGCCTTCAATGAACCCAGATGGATTTGAAGCTGTCTGGAAGCCTGACTGTTATTATAGTAATGGCAGGTAAAGATGGGCTGGCCTAACTTTATGGGCACCTGGGCCCTGGCACGAAGAGGCACCTCAGAGCCTGGGTCCTATCATTAGTGTACTGACTCGTGTCAGTCCTGCCCACTGCTTGGAAGATGGGACAGGCAATCAAGGCTCCCGGCCTGGCAGTCCCCTCCCTTCGCTGGCCACTCCTCCCCATGTCACCCTCTCCAGCCTCTCTGCTGCTCTCAGCTCGCTCCTCCATGTCACCCTCTCCGGCTGCTCACATAGCATTTCCTAAAAAGCTCCTTCCCCGACCAGGTGTCATGACTAGGTCTGCTGGTGTGCTCTCAGATCACCTAGCACTTTACATCCCTAGCACCATTTTTAATGTCTCTTTCCCCACTGAACCACAAGCTACCAGAGGGCAGGAATCCTGTCTGATGTGTTCATCATTGTTAGTTCCTCATCTGGCATAGTACTCAGGCCTTCGATGATTATGTGTTGTTTTTATTAAGCCAATAGTAAAAGAACTAACCACAAAGAAGCATGAGTTTTATAGTCATTCTGGTTTAAACGGTTTATTTTGTTTCAAGCTGCTGCAGAAAGTTTAGAATTTCTCAAGTGTCTAATATGCATTTATATTTGTGCAATTTATAAATTTGCTTGACCAAAAATAAAATCTCACCCTTCAGTTTTAAATTTCTCTAGTTTATTTAAACATAGCCCCTCCCATTTTTTTTTTTTTTTGGTACCAGGGATTAAACTTGAGTCCTTGCACTTGTGCAGCAAGTGGTGAAACCACTGAGCTAAATCCCCGGCCCCCTCCAATTTTTAGAAATAAGTTTGTATAAAGTAGTGCATTCACTAATGTTTCTACTATCAGTTGCTATATAAGAAACCACCCCAAAATTTGGTGATATAAAACAATAGCCTTTTTATTTGTTCTTGGTTCTGTAAGTGAGGATTCTGGGCAGGGCAGAGCAGGGATGGCCAATCTCTGTACCATATCAGGGCCTCAGCCTGGTTCTGTCTGGCCTCAGCCTGAGGCCATGTGGCTTGAGTCTCACTCTGGCTGTCACCTGGGTTCCTCCATGAGGACTCTCCATGTGGCTACCACTGAAGGATCAGAGCTCTAAAAGGAAGTGTTCCGAGAACAAAAGTTCCAAAATGCAAACACTTTTCAAGCCTCTTGTTTGCTTCACAATAGCTGAAGTCCCATTGGTGAGAGCAGGTTACATGGGAGGAGACCACAAAGAGTGTGCGCAACCAGGTGTGTTTCACAGGAGGCCACCAGTGCAGCCTCCTGCCATGCTGGTATTCACACATGGGGAAGCACTTGGAGTCTGAGTCAACGGTTCATGCACAGAAGGTGTCACCTCCCTCATGTACCATCAATGAACCCTAACAAATTCTTCCTTTTAAAGGGAAAATTATAACCAATATGACCTGAATAGAAATTTCCCTGATGCTTTTGAATATAATAACGTATCAAGACAGCCTGAAACTCAAGCAGTCATGAAGTGGCTGAAATCGGAGACGTTTGTCCTCTCTGCAAACCTGCATGGTGGCGCCCTGGTAGCCAGTTACCCGTTTGATAATGGTGCTCCAGGTAAGCAACCGTGGACCCCTCTGTGGCTTTCTAAGTACAGATCAGATCAGAGCTGCAAAAGCTCTACCTGCAAGTGAGGATGAACTCTTCTTCCCTCGATTCACTTCTCTGGCTGGGCTATGAGGAGCCTCGTTTTCCTGACTCTGCACCATCCTTTCTCTATTTCTTAAACAGTAGAGGGGCAGTGTGGCTGGACTGACAGCCAACAATTTGCTATCTGTCAGGGTTGATACCCTGACCAGCAGTTAGTTAATTAGTAATTGGGTGATGCCCAATTGCCCGATGCGGGTACACCAGAGGATGAAAGAATAATATACAGAGAACAAGGAATGAGAGTTTATTGCTTGAGGGGCCAATAATTGATCTCAGCTCTCCTGGCTAAGACCGTGGGCTCTAGATTAGTCAGTATTTATGATAATACAATATAGCAAGGAGGCATGAAGGCAGATGTAGGGAATAGCAGAACTAATGCACTAATGAGCAGGCTGTAAAAAAGGAGTAACTTTGTATTCTTATGAAGGACAGGTCACAGTTAAAAAGCCACCTGTGCTATCTTGCAGGTCATAGCTAACAAGCCACCCGCGTTATCTTTAAGCAATGTTTGATCTTGGAGAATGGCTGCACAGAGTCATAATTCTTCAGCTGCTGTGTTTCTTTGCTATTAGTGCATCACAACCTCATCGATCATTGAGACCTCAATTGTACCTATTGGCATAGGAAAATCAGTCTGGGTACACCAGCTGAAGGGTCAATTAGCAATTCACACTTAGGCCTTGGAATGACTCAAAGCCAAATCAATAACATGTAAAGCCTCCTCGGAGCGGGTTCAAGCTGGTCTCCTCCAGCTACCCATCAACGAAATAGTGAAATCAGATTTAGATGATTTCCCAAGAGGTAACATGGCTAAAAGGAAATAAATCCAGAACAATTTACTTTTATTAATCATATGAACAGTAATTACTGACTCCTTTTAAATTTCTGTGGGATGAGGAATGTATAGGACTTAACATATTACAGTGGCTTCCTTTAATCCCTACACCTAAGGAAAGTTTACTGACCTCTGGAAATTAGCAAGAGTAACTAAGTGAATATTTAATTCTTAAGCTGATTTAGGAGTCTGCATATGTATCTAACTTATTTTGTGAGCTCTCACCTCATGTGTTTGTTAAAAAATGAAAAAAAGGGTAGAAGGAGCATTTGTGGAAGTGGGTAGATGTTTGCCTTAGTCACTTGAAGGCAGAGAGATTTATTTTGGCTCACAGTCTCAGAAGTTTCAGTTCATGTTTGGCAGGCTCAAACACAGGCACAGCATGGTAGAAGGACCTGGGTGAGGAAAGCTGCTCATGAATTGGCACCCAGGAAGCAGAGAGCAACAGGAGGAGCTGCGGAGGGAGATGCGCCTTCCTGGCTGGACATACCCCCTCCCCAGTGACCCACCTCTTCCGGCCACGACCCACCTCATAACAGCATACTTAGCTATAGATTCACCAGTGGATTAATCCACTGATGAGATAGCACCTCCATGATCCAATCTCCTTCCACATATAAGAATTGGGGGGGAACATTTCAAATCTAAACCATAACAATTTCCTTTTAGGAAAATAAGAGTAATTGTTAGCAATATGATTGAATATTTGCTAATTTGGTGTTGTGTGTTTCCTTTTCTATAGTCAATCAAATGGTCTTGGTTTGTCTTTCAAATGTAGCAACTGGAACCTCACACTCACGAAGCTTAACTCCTGATGATGATGTTTTCCAACACCTTGCACATACCTACGCTTCGAGAAATCCCAACATGACAAAACCAGATCAGTGTAAAAATAAAATGAACTTTCATAATGGAGTTACAAATGGATACTCCTGGTATCCACTCCAAGGTGGGTGCCCCTTCATTGTTTTTATTTTCCACAATGCCTTCACCCCAGGGTGCCATCTGGGTTATCTTGACCCAGCTGTTGTCAAAAAGGTCTCTAGGCAAACCCAGTCCCTCAGTCTCATCTCCATCAGCTAATATCAGAAGAGCAGTGGAGGGGATGGTTAGCTTGGGAGATGCTCAGACATGGTCCTTACTACCCGCAGCTCCTTCATTCATTCAGATATTACAGTATCTGCCTACTGTGAGTCAGAAACTTCAATAAAAATGAACAAGATACAAATCTTACCCTCAAGTTTAATGCAAATAAACAATTATGAAGCTGGGCATGATGGTACACACCTGTAACCCCAGCACTTCGGAGGCTGAGGCAGGAAGATTGCAATTCACAGCCATCCTGGACTACAGAGCAAGATCCTATCTCAAAAACACAACAATAAAAATATTTAAATAGCGATAGCTGTATAATTAGAATTAAAATGGAGATTTAGAAAAGGTAGGGTAACCCGTAGGAGTATAAAGACAAAACAGTAGGAAGGAGCAAAGACCTTGGAGAAATGTACTGCTGAACAAGGACAGCTGCTGTTTAGATCCATGCAGTTATTGGCATGCAGTAGTGCCGCGTTCATACCGGCACACCTTGCAGCTCACAGAGGAAGCTGGATGTCATGCAGGAGCACCATGATTTTAAAGCTACTTTCCAGACTAAACTGTCTTCCACGCAGGACACAGTTTTCCATCCTTGGAGTAGGGTGGCCAGGTAACGGTGGGGAGGACATGGCCACATGGAGAATGTGAAAAGAAAGATATTTTTATCAGAAGGAATAATATAAACAGGAGCCTATAGGTATCTAAAAGCTCATAGTCTAGGAACTAAAAAATGTTAGAAGGAGTCCAGGTGGAAGAGCCACACAGGACAGTGAGCTGGAACTGAAAAGCATCCCCCTCCAGGCACTGCAAACAGCAAGCTGCAGTCTGCATGTCTGCACATAGGCCACTTCCAAAAGCGCCTTCCCTAGTTGGCACTTGGGACACATAGACTGTCAAGTAATCCTGCACACGCTGGTACTTTTGTGTCTGGCGGCTCACTGCCAGTGTTCCAGACAGTGTAAACAACAGCAGACTACAATCGGTGACGTACAGACAGCAGGGCCAGCTGGATACCCGGACATCCCAGAACTCTCTCTTCCACCCAGAGAAACCCCACCCCCACCTGAGAGTGCCAGCCCCCCCCCCAGCTTGAGGGTTAGGGAAGAGCCTCCCCTGCCCAGTGGCAGGGCTCTCCTTCACGATCACTCTCTGTAACTTCCAAGACAAACCAGATGTGTAGGAAATTAGCTAAAAGCCCACAGTTGCTGTTGGAAATTGTTCCCAAGTGTGTATGTGCGAGCTGTGTATCATCACGAAGAAAAGCAGGCAAAGCCAGCTACCTCGAGCAGTTCAGAGCCAAGTATCCTGGCCACCTGCAAGTTTTGCTAGGCCAGCCTGACTGACCCTGTCCAGAACTGGGGACACACTCCATGCTTGGTATTTTCAACCCCAGATACTTTGCTAGGGACCCTTAGTGCACACTTGTTTTGCTGTTTAAATTCTTTATACTCAGATATAGCCAGCTCTGAGGACTCTGTTTTGTTTTCTCTCTCCTTTTTCCTTCTGTTTTTTAGTGAACACGAGTTCAGAGAGAAATAGAAAACCTATAAGGTAAGTAAAGGAAATAGTAAGGACAGAGAAATTCATCCTGGCTCAAAACTGGGCCTGCACAGATGTTGCTTAATATTTAATATCTTGACGAAGTTTTGACCATTTTCTTGAAGTTGAACTTTTTTCTACTTTAGTACTTCCCAGATACCCTGATGGACTTGAGAATGTTTTCTTGGGCAAATATCAAGTGTAACAAATTAAAATTTATTCCTTCAAAGTTCCTATGTTCTATCAAAACCAAGATGCCACTGATTGTAAAACAGTGTACCACTAGGAAAGAAAAAAATGTTTTTAGCTAAAGATATATTGTTTTTTTAGACATAAAGTGTAAGATACATACCAATTCAGAAATTATAAGGCTGGGTGTGGTGGTACCTGCCGGCTACTTGGGAGGCCAAGGCAGGAGGATTGAAAATTCAAAGCCAGCCTGGAAAACTTAGTGAGACCTTGTCTCAAAAAAAAAATTGAAAAGAAAGCTGTGTCCTTTTGTTTGTTTATTCTTTGTAAGAGAGAGTCTTTTTTTGCCTTTGACTTGTGTTCTGAATAACATTTTAGGATCATGATACACAGTGTATTAATTATTAGCATTCTCTAATTATTTTGTTATGAAATTTTGTTTTATTAAGGACGGGGCTGGTGATGTAGCTCAGTCATAGAGCACTCCTATGTTTGATCTTTAGTACCACAAAAATATATTTTAAAAAATTTTACATCTTATGAAATGATTATAACCCTTTAAAAATAGGGTCTGCAGAGGTAAGGGAGCATGAGCATTGGCCACCTCGGAGCCACGGAGGTCTTTTTCCCTCCTAAGGGGCTGTGGTGTCCTTTCTCTGACCCCCAGAAACACCTTGGCATGATGGATAAGAGCATGGGGCCTAAGGAAAGATGGACCATTCCCGAGTCTCTGATGCCAATGGGTGGGAATCCCTGGATGTGTGCCTTAACATCAGTGTTACATTTCTTCCTCTGTAAAAGGGTAAAAATTGCTGAGGATTAAATGAGTTGATACAAAGCACTTGTAACAGTATCTAGCAATAGTGAGCACTAAGTAAATGTTGGACATTATTATTCCTTTAATAACCAGTGTACTTTGCTTTATATAATTGAGTTTATAAATGGTTTATGGAAATATTTAAAATGAAACCTTATTCTAGCTTATATCCATTTAAAATGTAATTTAATCATGTCATTTGCAGGAAAATGGATGGAACTGGAGACTGTCATGTAAACTGAAATAAGCCAGACTCAAAAAGTCATATACCACATGTTTTCTCTCATATGAGAAATCTAGGAGAGAGAGAGAGAGAGAGATGGAGACAGAGAGGATATAAAAGTAGAAGGGAGACTTTAGAGATGGGGGGAGGGGCCAGTGAAGGTATGATCAAAGTATGTTATATGCATGTGTGAATGTGCTCAAATCAAGCCTACTAGTCTATCACTAAAATACACTAATTTTAAAAGTCTTAAACCCACTTTGAGACTAAAAAATAAAATGTAATTTAAGGAAGAAATATAATTTGTAAAGTAGGATTTCAAAACATAAAAAGAAAAAAAAGGTCCATTTCCTACCACTCACTTAATTTTGATGTACACTTGACCTTCAGTCCACCTGATCCACTTACCCATATGGGAATACTTAGTGTGGCCTGTTCATGCCAGGTAATAAAATGTCAGTCCCTGATTTTACATGCTAATATGTCACATTCAGCCTTTTCGGGTCTATGTATACTTTCCCTGCAACTGTCTCATTCACTTGTACCCTGTGTATGTGATACTTGGCTCCACTTTGGTTGTAGACCTTAACAAAAATTAAATATATTTCTTTTTTAGGTGGAATGCAAGATTACAACTACGTCTGGGCCCAGTGTTTTGAAATTACACTAGAGCTGTCATGCTGTAAATATCCTCGTGAGGAGAAGCTTCCGTACTTCTGGAATGATAATAAAGTCTCATTAATTGAATATATAAAACAAGTGCACCTAGGTTTGTAAAATTTTCTTATTAATTCCTTAACACGAAATACAGAGTCTTTGGATCGTGCATATGCAGGCCTTTATTAGTGTGTTCCAGGTACAGCCTCATTTTAACAACCATAACTAATAGTTAAAAATTCTGGTGGCCAGGGATATAGCTCAACAGTGCCACACCTACCTGGCAAGCTCAAGGTCCTGAGTTCAATCACCAGTACTGGAAAAAAGGAAAAAGGAAAAAAATAATTCTGTCTGAAGCTGAGCATGGTGGCACACACCTGAAACCCCACTACTCAGGAGGCTGAGCCAGAAGGGTTGCCTCAGAGTTCAAGGGCAGCCTGGAATACATAATGAGACCCTGTCTCAAAAAACAGACAAAAAACCTGAGTATCTGCTGTGTGTGAGATTTATACTACCCAGTTGGTTCATAGAAAAGAAAACATGATGCATGTCAACTGACTTTGGTGGTATAAAAATCCAGAGTAGGGGCCAGGGCTTTAGCTCAGTGGTTTCACCGCCTGCTGCACAAGCACAAGGACCTGAGTTCAATCCCCGGTACCAAAAAAAAAAGAGTAGCCCTAATTTTACATGTTGAATGATCTAGAACTCTGGTAAAAGATTAAGAAAGTTCGGTGTTACTTTTTATATCATCTTACAACTAGAAAAAAGCCAAATTTGCTTGTCACTTGCCATTCAGTATCACAGACCCTAAGAACACTAGACATAGCATTTCACAGCTTTTACAGAATTGGGGTGGTGACCTAGCACCATTAGCTTGAACCCCACTCAGCTCCCCCCCCTCTGCCAGAGGCCCTGGCTGGAGTTTTCGCAGCCTGTGCCACAGAGGGACAAACTCAACATGGCAGACAGTGGTAGCTCTCACAGGTGCTCACCCAGTGGTTTGTTCAGACAGATGCAGGCCTGTCTCAGAGCTCATTTAGTGGAGCTTGAATTAGTGTTTGCCTGGGTGATGCTGCTCCTGGCTCAGGGTCTACACTAAGAAAACCACAGCACTAGAGAAACACTCTTGTGATGATGGAAGCCTGTGCAGTTCAGGTTTCTTAGGCAGTCAGAGTCTCTTCGGGCAGGACATTGCAGGCTCTCCTTTATGCCAAAGTTGGCTATCCATAGCGGGAATTGCCACAGTAGTTATCTACCACACTGATCCAAGCAGAGGGTGTGTGAACATTTGGTACATGAACCTACTCAAATTCTTGCACACTTCACACCAACACTCTTTGTCTGTTAAGAGTAGATGGGGAAGGATGAGGGCGGGGAGCACAGGACAGAGAGCCAAGAACAAGGATAATTAGGACTCCCTTGGCTTCACGTCCCTAAAATGGATTCCCTACCCTTTTTCTTACGCATGTCCCCAACCTCCATCCCCTAACCTAAACAGAAATACACAGATTTTTAGTGAGCTCATAGGGTTGTATCCAACTGACTGGGTTTTTTGTGGAAGAGGAATTCCCTATGAAAGGGATCCTAATAAGAGTTTTAAATATATTATTGGACATTTTCCCTTCCTTGTGTCATCAGACTTTGTTGTGAGTCCTCTCTAGTATCTGGCACTTAATTTTCCTCGTGCTTTTCCTCATGAAACATGTATTAATTTAACCGTTCTACAGTATTTCTACCCACATTGATCCTTTAATGCGTTGTTCTGCTTATTTCCTGAAATTCATTCTTCATCAGTATAAACATGGGAATGCAACTGAACACAAAATATGCTCTGTGTAACTGCACTCCTATTTTCAGAATTTCAATCTAGCTGTAAACATTACTGTATTTGCCAAGCTCTGAATGAAGGTGGGCTGTGAAGTCATGCTGATAGAATATTGTCACTGAAGGAGTTTGTACACTGATAAATAACATGTGCATTGCAGCATAACTATTTTATTATTAGTAATTTGGTGGGGTTAGAAGTCCATTTACACTAGGTTATATGAAGAATATTCATCTGCCAGTATATACCAATCCTGCCCCCTTGTGGTTTAAGGGAGGCATTTTTTTCTAGTTTAATGATGAAACCATATTTCTAAATATTGATGAAGTATGACTATCATCACTTAATAAAAAACTTCTCTCTCCTTGCTGCCAAATAAGGAGCTAAAATGTGGTAGATTATGGCAGCAGATGAACCCTCATTTGGTGTTGCTCTAGTTAAAGTAAATTATTGATATTTGTCAATCTATATTTTACTACTTGCTAGGATGCTTCTGATGTTTCTATATCTCTGACCTACCTTGTCTGGAAAAACCTTTATTTTTTTCCAGTGGGGGAGATCAAATCAAGGCCTTGAACACACAAGGGCTTTCTGCTTTAGAAGAAATCTGGCCATGAAGTTAGGACCCTGGGTAGATCCCAGGCTGTTTCATCATCTGGCCTGTTCGCAAAATTGAACAAGCACTTGTCTGACCCTCAGCTTAGTTAAGAGAGTGGGATTAATAGCATCAGTCCTACTTCACATCAGTCTGTTCTGAGGCCCCAAAGGTCTCACTGCACTCACTGCGTATCTCAGTTTAAACTCAGGCCTGTGGCACTATGTGTCATACTTAGAGGATTTACTAGGTGCATATTATAAGGGTGTCTGTAGACATCAGAGTTCTAGGCCTAGAAGGTTCTGCTTGTCACCCTCTGGAGACAAGAAGGGTGAGCAAGACAGTGGTATCTTCTGGTGCCCTGTCTCCCCTGGACTCTGCAAGGCAGATCCAAACCCAGTGGTCTAGTGAACGGCTCACACCTCCCACACACTGAAGCACCCTGGCCCTAGGAGAATATGGTACAGGCTGAGTTCCAGAAGCCTGTGGAACTGTGATTGTATGCCGGGGATCAAACCAAGGCATGGACGTGAACAAGCAGACCCCCAAGTAATGTCCCAGTGCTCACTGAATGGCAGCCTACAGATTCAGAATTACAGTTCTTACCAGCAGGGGCTCTTCATTCATGAAGCTAATACATTTCCAAGGGAAGGAGAGCTTAACCTTTCTCAGCACATCTCCAGATGTGGCCAGAGTTTAAGCCTCAGATTTTATGTCTGCTTCTTTCTTTATTATCTGAACTTTTTTCAGAATATATTTTGTTCCCCTACTGATAGCTCTTTCAGAGGTGTTGGTCTTTTTCGGCATACCAAATAGTAGAAATATAAATAAGTGGGACTTTGAAAAAAACAGGCAAAGGGGCCAGGGATTTAGCTCAGTGGTTCTGCCGCCTGCCTTGCAAGCGCAAGGACTTGAGTTCGATCCCCGGTACCAAAAAAAAAAAAAAAAACAGGCAAAAGAAGGACAGATTACATGAAAATAGAGGTTTATATAGTCAATCTATATTGAGAAAGAAATACAGCATTTAATAATTCATTCTCAGGGAGAAGAGTGAAGATTAAATAACTGAAAAGGAAAGAAAGTAAAAAGCAACTTGGGTGAGAAGTTTGCTTAATGATCAAGCTAAAGACTTGCTAAATGTCAGAACCTTCATTTTTTCATTCTAATTTTTTTGGAGGAAATTATTTAATGTGTGCCTCCTATTTTTCTGCCTAGTAATTGTTGTGTATAACTATTTGGGGATACTTCAAGGGCATCTTATCATTGTGGGTTTTGTGGCTTCTCATTTATGTCATGGAGCTTAGACAGCTTCACCTTAAGGTAGCCTGCTGATTTGTTACTGGAGTGAACAAACTGGACTATGAAATCTAGGATTTAAAATGAGACACAGGGTGAGGTGTAGTTCATTGATAGAGTACTTGCCTAGAATGTTTCAGGCCCTGGAATTGGTGTCCAGTACCACAAAAAAGATGTTTACTCTTGAAACTTTGAAAGAAGGAGAGAAGTGATCGATTCAGTGTGGGCTCTTATTTTTGGTTTACATCTAGCTTGTGCCTTCCAAAGCCTCTTTTTCACTGTAAAATGTTGTTGTTGTATTGGGGGGTGGGGGTTGCTGGGGATCAGATCCAGGGACTCATGCATTCTAGGCAAGCACTCTACCACCAAGATGCACACCAAGCCGTGTAAAATTGTGATAGTAACATTGTCTGCCTTATAGTTGATGTGAGGATTCAATGACAAAATGTACATGAAACACTTAACAAAGATCCTGATTAAGTGCTCAGTAAACGTTAGTTGCTGTTATTCATAATAATGTGAGCCCCATCAAGCAATTCCATGCTTTAGGAAACCTTGTGTTTGTAAGTTTTCTTCGTAGAGTTTGCTTGACCATAAGGCAAAACTGTTGAGTCCCTTGTGTAAATAAGTATCTTGTAAACAGTGACATTGTTTTTGTTTGCGATTTTATAGAATCCACTAATGGTATGTTGCAGTACACTTTGGTGACTGAGTAAATGACTGGAAATTATAAGAATGGGTCTCAGGCTATCATCTCTCTTCTCTTATTTTGATAATATGTTATAAATGGAACATTTGACAACCAGCAAATTTGAGCAATCAGATTAGTAGATTCACTAATTTACAGTCAACAAAAATACTTTCTCTTCTCTAATACTTTTTAACTCAAGATAGCTAATAAACAGAGTGGCATGGTGGTGCATGCCTGTAATCTGAGCAATCAGGAGGCTGAGGCAGGAGGACTGCCTAAAGCTGAAGGCCAGCCTTGACTACACAACAAGACCCTGTCTCAAAAAAAAAATAGGGCATATTTTCCTTAAACAATGACGAGAATTTTTCATATGCCATAAAATGTGGTGATTACACTCAATTTTCTTGTTTCGCAGGTATAAAGGGTCAAGTTTTTGATCAGAATAGAAATCCATTACCCAATGTAATTGTGGAAGTCCAAGACAGAAAACATATTTGCCCATTTAAAACCAACAAATACGGAGAATATTATCTACTTCTCTTGCCCGGATCCTATGAAATAAATGTAAGTATGCAATCCTAGTTGTTATTAAAATATTATAGCACTCATAGTACTCACCCAAGAGGAATCTAAAGTCAAAAAATCCAGAAGTAGATACAATGGGGCAAAAGGAAAGAACAACATCAGACTTGCAATTGGCAGTAGAGTGGAGTGAGTAGGAACATGATAGGAACAAAACAGAAATAGAAAAACACAAAACAAAAAAAAATAGGTTTTTTTCTAACTGGAAATTAATTTTTGATAAAAACTAAATCTTATTTTTGTGATAGTTTTTATAATGAAAAATGCAAACTTATTAAGGATAATAAGAGTGGGGCCGGGGATTTAGCTCAGTGGTTTTGCCACCTGCTGCACAAGCGCAAGGACCCAAGTTCGATCCCCGGTACCAAAAAAAAAAAAGAATAATAAGAGTGAACTAAGATGGCTGAACAGAGGAGCCTCGTGTATGATTGTGTCTCAGAGTCAAGGCAACAAAGGAAACCTGTATTTTAAGGAAAGTGAGGGAGGGAGTACTCTGGAAATTAGTGAAGGGGCGATGAGAATCAAAATAGCTCAGAGAGTTGAAAACAACAAAGTAATCTCCAACTTCAGCCCTGGCTCCCAGTCAACAAAGGGAGGTAGTGGGACCAACACAGCATAAGCTAACTAGGAAAGTGCCAGCAATAGGCTGGCAGTCCTAAGTGCTGGAAAATTCCACAGTTTTTACAAGCCTTAAATCCAGCTTGTGGAACTAGCTGGTTATAAAAGTGACTTCTCTGTCCGAAGAAGATACTGACTTTGGACCTTCCCCAAACTCCAAAACTCAACTACCACAACAGCCACTCCTACACCCCATCTTGGTTTAGGGGCCTGTGGCCAAACCCTGGACAGTGTCAGACGCCTTGGGCTGGGGCACGCTTCACTGGGCAGAAGATCGCCTCCAGCAGCTTCAGTACCCATGGCTGCCCTGAAATAGTCACAAGCCTGAATCCCACCCACCTTTGTCCCATGAGATCTACATAGGTCTCCCAAGCCCACAACCTTTCAACTATAGCCACTGTTGCTAAGTCCTACTTCTCTCACACCTGTCCATTTGAGGCTAGGAAAGCTCCCAAGCAACCCAACAGCTCCAGGAATGCAGCTGCCAGTGAGCCCAACCCCTGCTGACAACTGGGATCACAAGGTAGGATCCAGGCAAAGTCTCCTTTCCAGCCCATACCTTGGGACTACAGCTGTAGGCACAAAGAACCTTCGCTTCACTTAAGCTTCTCCCTGGGAATCAGAGGAAATGCCCATCTATGTTCTTCAACCCCAGGACTAACTACCAGTGCCACAAGCCTTGTCTCCACCAGAGCTTGCTGCCCTGCATGATCTAGTGGCATTCCTACCCAGGCCCCACAGCTCCAAGGCCACAGGTACCAAAGCCACAGCCATAGGACTCTCTGTGCTCAACCCACAAACCCTAAGGTAGGTCTCCCCCACGTCCTACACCTCCTAGGGTATGGATACAGCACCACAAGCCCACACGTTACCTGCACACCCTTGAGAAGACCTAAGGAACATCTCCACAATCCACAGACTTCTAAGCACAGAACTGGTGCCAAAAGCCCTAGTTCACTTATACTTTTCCCTTGGAACTAGGAAAAAGTATGCTCTGGGTCCCAGAGCTCCACAAAAACATTTAACAGCACTACAAACTCCCGTCGACATAAGGATACAAGAATATGAAAGGAAATAGAAACTTCTCAAGAAAAACAACTGTTCTCCAGAAAGATTCTAATTTGAAGGAAACTTATAAGATGCCTGAAAAAAATTCAAATGGTGATCCTAACAAAACTCAGTGAGATGTAAGAGACTACAGATAAACAATACAGGAAATGAGAAAAACAATTCAGGTTATGAGTGAGAAATTCTCTGCAGGTATTCAACTTCTAAGACAACTATAATTGGTAAGAAAATAACAGTTCCATGTTCATACTATATATTTCAAGGTGCTTGATATCTAGATAAGATAACTGATCTCCTGGGTGTTCAACAACTGAGGTTTGGAGACCAAAGTTAAAACGTAACTGAGCTAAGAGTACAACCAACCCTTCAGTGAATGAATGGATTTTAAAAGTGCCATATACACATAACAGAATACTATTTTTCCATAAAAAGAATAAAGTTCTGTTGTTTGCAGCAATATAGATGGAACCAAAGGCCATTATGTTAATTGAAATAAGTCAGACACAAAACACAAATCCACATGTTCTCACATCTTGTAGAAGAATGTAATGGAACAGTCGTCACTAGAGACTAGGAAGGGCAGGGGGCTGGAGATTGGAAAGAAGTCAATAAGGGGTACCAAAACAGTGAAAGAATCATTTCTAATTTTTCTTTAGCACAGTAAGGTATCTATAAATTAGAACAGTCTGTGGTTTATTTCAAAATGACTAGAGAAGGCGAATACAAAATTCTCAGCAAATACAAATGAATTTGAAGAGACAGAAATACTTACTACCCTGATGTGACTATTATACATTGTATACCTGTTGGGTTTTTTTTTGGTGCCGGGGATCGAACTCGGGTCCTTGCGCTTGCACAGCGGGTGGTGAAACCACTGAGCTAAATCCCCGGCTACATTGTATACATGTATTGAATTAACCATAATGTACCACATAAAGACCTACAAATATGTCAGTTAAAAAAAAAAAAAGAGTAACCAATATAGCAAAAGTACTTCCAAACTTCATAGGATACCATTTAATACCCGTTCCATAAAATTTCTGCCATTAAAAAAAGACTGGGGCTGGAGGTGTTGGTCACTGACAGAGTGCTTACCTAGTATGCACAAGGCCTTCTGTTCACACCCCAGCACTACAGAGGGTAGGAGGGAAGGATTGAGACAAGTTCCTTAGAACTTATTGCAAATGAAAGTTAATCTGTAACTTTTACGATGAGCAAGTGGTAGACATATTTTACAATCCTTTTACCAATTAATGCAAGTAAAATTTCAGTTTTTAATTCCACTAACATGCATGTGTCTGAGCCATTTCTTCCTAGGAAAAGAGGCATAACTGAATAAGTACCTCTTGTAGTTAGCCAGGTTATCCTTCCTCTTTGATGTAACATTCTTTTAAAAGTTCAGGACTCTTCTGTTTTATTTTTTCAGTTTGGGTTGTTTGTTTGGGTATGGAGTAATTTTTTACAGAACTTTCTGGGAGAAGGCATTCATCTCTTCTGTAAGTATTGTTCTAAGACACGATTGGAGTAAACTTTTTTTTTTTTTTTGGTACCAGGGATCGAACTCAGGTCCCTGTGCTTTGGAGACAGGCGGCATAACCACTGAGCTAAATCCCCAGCCCGATTGGAGTAAACTTTTGAAGCTGAAACAAATGGCTAAAATACTGATTAGCAACTATGTAAATATTACTCCCATTCTTTTCCCTCTCCACCATCTATAATAAAAGCATTTCTCCGTGGAGATAACCTCTAGTTAGTTAGCATTCATCTTATTTTTTCCTGGTCATTTCTTCTATCAAAAAAGCAAATCTGGACAAAGATTCAGACTCAAATGAACAAAACCAGGTAAAATCAAATCTTTTAAAAGAAAGCAACAGAGTTGTACACTCAGATCAGCTGCAAGGAAAATAATGAATTGGGAAAAAGAAATCTACTTTTAAAATACTCTTGATATTCAGTAAAGGTATTAAGTATAAACCTGGGACAAAGAAAAACAACTCTACCTTTGCGATCCATGGAAATGATGGTGGCAGAATCGGTCTGCTGCTTTCTTTCTGTTTGTAACTTACATCAGCAAATAAGGTACCTGTTTCTGTCTTTATTGCATTTTGTGATTCTTGGCAACAGTATTAGCAACTGTCAATAAGCATTGGATAACTCATCTGTCACAGGCCCCAGAGGCCTGGCAGAGTGTTACAGGCATTGCACAAAGGCCACGTTTTAGTGGTCGATAACAGTGTTTTCAGTGTTGGCACTACAAAACATCTGAAATCACTCATACAATCGTTTCTTGTTTCTCCTCAGGTTACAGTCCCTGGACATGAGCCACACCTCACAAAGGTGGTTATTCCAGAGAAATCCCAGCACTTTAGTGCTCTTAAAAAGGATTTTGTACTTCCATTTCAAGGGCAGTTGGGTTCTCTCCCAATACCAAATCCGTCATGCCCAATGATTCCTCTGTACAAAATGTCACCAAGCCACTCAGCTACAACAAAGCCCAGTTTGTTCCTATTTTTACTGACTCTTTTGCACATATTTTTCAAATAAATTGTGAAACTCCACTCTCGTCACCACCTGGAATCAGGGATTGCTCACTCCAGGTTACTGCAACTCTAACTCCCACTTGTGAGACCTCAACTGGATAAGAAGAGAATGGACGTCTCCAGATCCTGCAATGAGCAATATGTGGCGATAATGAAAGGAAATGATTCAGTCCTTGATGATGAATGGAAGACACCTACCTGTCAAGCACTGCCTACTTAAACACTTAAATTAATCCTGAAGTCTTAGAAATTTATAAGAAGTTAAACTTGAGAAGCAAAGCAGAAGTTCTTTTAAAAAGAAAAGAAAATAAGGAGCTAAACCAGGCATGGTGATGTATCCCTATAATGCCAGCTGTGTACTCAGAAGACTGAGGCAAGGGGGGATCACAAGTTCAAGTCCAACCTGGGCAACTTAACAAGACCCTGTCTCAAAATTAAAAAAAGAAAAGAGTTGGGGATCTAGTTCCCTGGGTTCAATCCCTAGTACTCCTTCAAAAAAACTAATTTTATATGCAAAGAGTCAGGTGAATATGAGTAACAAAGATGAACATTTATTGATCACCTACTATGTACAAGATCTTGCCATCATGAGTGCTATCTATGAAGAGATAGTGCTGTATGTAATTGGTTTTCCAGAAAGAAAGAAATGATCATAGGACTTTAAAATATATAGTTTTAAGGAGATATGAGAGAAATCAGGCAAACAGGTGTCAGTGACCCAAGAAAATAGGGCCCTGATGTGATGACAAGGTTTTATCTACACCAACAGTCAAAGAAGTCTCTCTCCCTCCAAAACCAGTGTCCTTGCCTTACTGCAGTTGGATGTCACCATCGTTTTTGATGAGGAACCTCCCTAGTCTAACGAGAGTAACTCTAGCTTCTTGCCTGAGCTTCAGACTCATGTCCCACTGCCCCACGAGATATACTTCACACTCATCACGTTGCAAATGGAGCTTGATTTTCCCTCAAGAGCTTTTAGTGCTATATCCTCTATATCAGTTATTGGTACCACCATGCTAGAAATCTGAGAATCCTCAATACTACCTCTTTCTTCTTTATCATGTGTTCAGTCACTAAGGATTGGTTATAAATACTAATTCTGCCCTCTTCTTCACGGCCTTTAGCACTGCAGTTTAGGCTCTCGTACTTCACCTGCACCACAACAGTTAAACTTCTCTCTTGCTCCCAGCCGCCTCCATCCTCCGCACAGTCTTGGGGGCTACTTAAAAATCAACAACCAACTGCTATTACCTAAACACATGACATGCTTTTTGTGTTTTCTTTATCTGGAATGCCATTCTGAGTCACTTTTTTTTTTTTTTTTTGTACCGGGGATCAAACTCAGGACCTTGCGTTTTTGAGGCAGGCGGCAGCACCACTGAGCTAAATCCCAGGCCCTGATTCACTACATTTTCCACTGTTACATTAAAACTCCTTTCAAATATCAACTCCAACAGGATGCCTTAACCATCATCCCATTCAACACCATTCCACCCCTTCCCAGCCCATCTGGGCTTCAAGGCCCTTTCTCTTTTCTCCTCAGAATAACCTGGTTCTCTCTTACTGGATGTACAACACCGTACTACAACTGCCTACTTCATATGTGCCTCTCCAATACAGTCTGAGTTCTTTGAGGTCATGGTCTACTTGTTTGAAAAATTCATTTTTATATCCTTAGAGCCTAGCACAAAGCAGTTCAGAGGACAACCTGCTACTCTTAGACCCTTTCAGAAACTGTATGGCTTTGAGATTTTTTGTGAAAGCAGGTCTTAAATTTTGGCAGTCTGATACTCACTAGTACCCTGACAGACGCATGTTTCCATATAGCAAGAAAAAAGCTCCAAATGCAGTGTTTTTCTTCCATATAAGTGCATTTACTTCCATACTTATCATAAGGTTTGTTGTAAAGTATTGTTAGCTGGTAATAGCATGCCACTTTTTTATCAGAAAAAAATACTATATCATTAGTACTCATTTGAACCTACCATTCTCTACTGTGAAAGTTAACCTATCTTAAAATATTGTGTGTAAGAATGAAAGGCATGGGCTGGGGATTTAGCTCAGTGGCACCACACCTGCCTCACAAGCGCAAGGTCCTGAGTTCAATCCCCAGTACCAAAAAGAATGAAAGGCAGAGGGGAAGGACCAAACAGAAAAACAATGGCAGCTCTTGTAGGCAGATTCCTAAGTGCTGTATATCATTATGAAAAATGAGTTGTCTTGCTTATTTTAAATTGTATCTGAATATGAAACCACACTGATCTTGACAGCTTGAGAACCCACAAAGGGCGGAGGAGACCTTGGTTTTTAGGTGCCATTTCTGCCAAACTTACTCTACATGCACAAATCATACCTGTTATCAACAGTATTTGTCTTTTTTAATTTATAAAATCTGGTAATATCCTGAATGTCTTTACCATTTGTATTTAAGCAATAACTTATTAAATAATTGAAAGTATATGTTAATATAATAATGCAGAAAATTATATTGGTATATTAAATATAAAAGTGTATAAGAATAGACTTGATTTACCATCAAGCCCTAAACCAGTGATGGTGAACCTTTTAGAGCTTTCAGTAACAAACAGCCTGCTGTGGAATGCATGCTATAGATTCTCCACCACTGCCCTAAACAATTTTTCTATTGAGAACTCAGAGTTCTAACTTTTTTCTAAGACAGCAGTTTTTAAAGGTACATGAACTGAAATTTGAATTGGTTCATGAGCTTAATGTAAATTTGTTACTGGAAGTGGGGTTTTTTTGGTACCAGGGACCGAACTCAGGACCTTGTGCTTGCACAGCATGCGGTGAAACCACTGAGCTAAATCCCCGGCCCAACTGGAAGTGTTTTTAAAATCAGAAATTTGTATCAAAATAAAATTTTAAATCATTTAAAGGCAAACAGGGCTGAGGGTGTGGCTCAGTGGAACATATGCTTAGCCTGTGTGATGCCCTGAGTGCAATCTCCAGCACATTTGCACACACACACAGATAAAATACAATCATGAAATTCTGTGGTCAAACCAAGCCCCAAACGTCCCTGCCTAACACCTTTCCCAGTCTATTCCACCCTCTTAGACTGATTCCTTCTCAAGCTCTAAATTCAATTACAGTGGCATCTCAGTTCACAAATTTAATTTGTTTCACTATTTCGGAAAAGACGGCCATGTTTATGTTTGTGTGTGGGAAAGAAGGCTGTGGTCGTTTTTTGTCACCCAAAGTAGAGTTTGCAGACAAAAAATTTTGCCAAACGCTTTTATGAACCAAATTGTTCTCAAAAGAGTTTGAACTGAGGTAGCACTGTATAATCCTTTTTACAGAAAAACCAACATTATAAAGGTTTTCAAGGTAAGAAAAAAAGCAGAAGTAACAATAGATGGCAGGAACCCTGGGTTCAAATCCACTGCACATTTAGTTTCCTTATCTGTAAAATGAAGACCCCCTTGGTTAGAAACAGAAGAGACCACATTTTGGTGCTTTTCCAGGTGAAGGAAGGATAATTAATATTCAGATTAATATTTTGAAGATTATAATACACCTTATTAAAGGCCAGTACTTCTGCGTCAGTTATAAACTATTGATCTAAAAACAAAAATTTTGGTTAGCAAGACTGAGCAACTAATATTGAAGGAAGTTTTGATGAAGTGAAATGAGCAATGCTAACCTGATTCTAAATGTGTGAAGTATTTTAGAGAAATGTTAAGTCTGTACAGACAAGTGTCAGTGTTGATTTTGGTGCTTATCACATTCAGAGAAGCTGCTAGTTGTATCAGAAATGTTAAAACCTCAACATTTCTGAAAGTATAAGTCAGTGTTGTGTTTTGTTACAGAAGCAAATTTGCATTTGTAATGTTTCTGAAAACAGTGTAAGTTACATTTATGTATAAAAAGTATACATATCTGATGCTGGATTCAAAGTACCTTCTAGGGAACCCAAAAATATAAGAATGGCATACTGCCTTATTGCAACAGGATAAGTTAGTTACTGAGAAATTTGGTTCTTAAGCAGTGATAATATGGTTGGAGTTTATGTTATGACAGATTACTTGTATCCTCCTGACTTCAGGTGGCAGGAAAGGAAGATGATGGTCCTACTGGGTAAAGAGCACAAAGAGTTCCTAATATCTAAAGTAGAAATCTGCATGTTATAAACTTTGTTATATCACTAATAAGTAGATATTATACTGTATTGTTCACAAACCATTTTATCATTTTAGATTTGAACTATTCTAACCTTTTATAGAGGTTACATGGATAATTTTACAAGTTCTCTCAGTGACTTTCTTTTATAATTAAGAACTTACTAAAATGAATTGTCTCTACTAAAGTTTATTGGGGAGGAGCCATGACTACCTCTGAGTTTAGTAAATCTAGGACTTCTGATTATCAATAAAAAATACTCATACAGTAAATGTTGTTTCTTTCCATTACCTTGAAAACAATGTTTTTTTGTCAGCCTAACAGTCCACATACTAGAGAAAACTGATTCCCACCAAATAAATCCTAGGGAAGACCAAATTTAGTATCATTTTGAGGCATTAATACTGCAGTATTTCAAACATTTTGTTATTTATACTATATATTCCAAATTAATTTGTATCATGGGGCAGTGTGTTCCATAAGGTGATGGATTAAAAGTGTGCTTTCTAGTCAAAAATAATGGGAAATGTGACACAGTTCAGTGGTAGAGCACTTGCCTACTATGTGCAAGGCCTGGGTTCAACCCCCAGCATGACAAGAATTCACAATTCACATTATTATAGTAAAAACTCTGAGAATCATGCAGGAAGAAAATGGATTTCTCACAAGTTAACTTAGCTATGGGCCCATTTTCTTAAATAATTATAATACTACTACTATCTCTTTGAACTAACATTCCTAGCTTTCCAAACACATTTTGGAAAATGCTGATGTACTTTTTTTCTGAAAAACAAATTTTGCCAATTTCCAAGTGCCTCTGAAACATAGTATGGTTATAAACAAAATCTGCTTCCAGTAGGAATTGAGAAACTTACCATAACATCAAGGCAAATGCAGCATGCTAATATAAACTTTCTAGTCATAGGATAGAGGTCAGAGTCAGGTGTATGCCTACCATCCTGCACTTGAACAAGTTTCTACTGAGACATGGCTGAGGAGAAAAACGGATAAATTAGTTACTGATTTCTAAAAAGATAACTATCTGAAACTCAATTTAGAGAATGAACTGGGATCGATTTTTCTATTTTTAAGAGAATTTATTAGTTATTAGGAATCCCTTAGAGAAGTTCCCTGACATATTTTAGCTAGGCTTCAATATTTAAATTTGCAGCCAGGAGTGGTGGTGCATTTTTAATATCTTATCACTTAGAAAGCTGAGGCAGGCGGCCCACCATGAGTTCGATGCCAGCCTGAACTACATAGTGAGACTCTGTCTCAAAAATAAATTTGCAGTTATTCAATGAGCTGAAAGATATGAACTAAGACATCAAGAATTCATTTAAAATTCACATTTTTAGCTTGGCACGGTGGCAAATGCCTATAATGTCAGTTAAGGGTAGGCTGAGGTGGGAGGACCTCCGGTTTGAGCCCAGCATAGGCAACACAGTGCCTAAAAGTACATTTAGGTAACAACAAAATATTTATGGGGAAAAAAAACATGCAGCTGTTTAAAACATCCATTACAAATCTGCCTTCCCTAAAGGCAAGATACAATTTTAAAATGAACTAAAATTTTAAAACGTTAGACATGAGGGAGAAAGTAAAAGAAAAACATAGTTATCTATTTTTGGATAGAATTTATTTTTTTTGGTGGGGGATGCTGGAAATTGAACCTAGGGCTTCCAGCATGCATGCTAGGCACGCACTCTACCTCCAAGCTAAACCCCCAGCCCCAAAGTTTCCTACATATCACTCCTTTTATAATAAAAAGCAACTGATTTATAGAATAGAATCTCAATTTTGGAACCACCAGTTTATGTGACTGGTAAGCCTCCTCATACATTCATTTTATATTTCTAGACTATTTACCAAAATGACAAGTCAAAGTTATTTAAAAATTTATTCTAATTGATCAAGTTAAAGATATCTTTCCTTTAACATTAAAGCATATATTTGTATGCAGTATTTTTTTTTTAACACCTGAAAATAGAACTGCATTTCTTTGCCTCTAGTGAGCGCCTGAATTCAGTCCTCACAGTGCCTGGTGATTTGGTCTTTCATCTGGCTAAGCAAAAGCAACAAATTAATTATCAAAAACAGTGAATAAAGTTTTATATAGAAAAATTTAAGAAAAACTTTACAGTTCTGACACCTTAACTCTTAAAAGATGTTTTCTCAAAATGTTTCACCATTTATCGGTTTTTGATTTTAAAATTTTTTCTCTTGTAAGACAAAACTGTATAGCTGCTTAATGTCTATGTGTACACAGTGCATTTTATCTGAGACTTAGGACACAAATCGATGTCACTTAATAGGTTGTGAAGAGGAAAATAACAAAGTAATGCATCAGTGTCAACAGTTGAGATAACGTATTAAAGAGTTAATTCAGGTTACCTAACCTGGGTTTTGGAAATGTCTAATCATAAATGGATGCAAAATACTATTAACATCCATTAGAAGAAATTAGTCAGGTGTGGTGGTGGTGCAAGCCTCTAATCCCAGCACTCTGAGAGACCGAGTGAGGCAGGATTACAAATTTGAGCTCAGCCTAGGCATTTAGCAATTTAGACCTTGTCTCAAAAATTTTAAGAAAAGACATAGTGATGTAGCTCAGTGTAGAGACTGTGGGTTCAATTCCCAGGACTGAAAAAGAGCATACTATACTATATTTATTGTCAGTAAGGTCACTAAACAATAAATAGTGATACCTTGGTTGCCAAATGGCTCCAAGCTCAAACTTTCCACTACTCGAACAGTAAAGCTTGAAAAAAAAAATCTGCTGAGTGTTTGTAACTTTGCTCAATAGTCAAACCAAAAATCCAACTTGAAAAAACCTGTACAGGCTGAAAGTCAAACGCTGCGTCTCGCCATGGACGCAAAAGGGCAAGGCTCAGTCTAAGCACCACTCTGGCCCAGACAACAGATAATGCTCATGTCAGTGCATTAATACATTCATCACTGAGGGTCTTTTTTCTTTTGCGCTTTATTTACATAAAATGTTGTACCCATGGATCCAAAGAAAGTTAGTGATACCAGCAGCAAACCTAAGAGGAAAACAGACCATGATAGTTAAAAAAAAAAAAAAAAAAAAACCACTGCAAAATTTGTTAAAGTCCTGGAAAAATGAATTTGTAAGTGTAATATTTGGGCCTCAGAACCAATTATTTGGTTTTCCATTATTTCTTATGAGAAAAATATGTTCAGTTCTTGAACTTTCCAGTGTTTGAACACAAACTGGGAATGAATCGAGTTTGACAACTGAGGTATCACTGTACTAGACTGATTGTGAATTCAGCCTTCCCACTAAAGGAACTTTATAAAAACTGTTACAGCAAAAACAGTTTGAGGGGCTGGGGATTTAACTCAGTGGTTCCATCACCTGCCTTGAAAATGGCAAGGTCCTGAGTTCGATCCCTGGTACCGAAAAAAAAAAAAGGGTTTGAGAAGAGAATGGTGAAAATAAGGTACTCACATTATAGAGCTTTCAAAGTCTAAAATGATCCAGCAAATCATGATATCCTACAAACAAGTTTCTTTCCCCAATACTTAAATCAAAGAAATACCACTGTATATATTAATTATCTATTTACAAAAAATGGGGGAGATAAAAGGCATTGAAGCAGGGCTGGAAGTACATCTCAGTGGCAGACTGCATGCTTAGCATCCATGAGGCCCTATGTTCAATCCCCAGAACCAAAAAACAAAGCATTGAAATCAGTTTAGGGAGCTGTTCCTACAACCCTGAAGAAAGGCCTAATAACAGGTGGCAAGTTGTGAACCGAAACTTAACACCCACACAAGTATTAAAATTTAACTCTGGCAAATGAAATTCATCCAAAATGACAAGTATTTAATAGTGAAGTTTTGGAATTAAGCTGGTAAAACACTATGCAAAGTTGACTTTAGGGCCAGGTGTGGTAGCACACATCTATAATCCCAGCACTCAGGAGGCTGAGGCAGGAGTATTGGCAGGAATTCGAGGTCAGTCTAGGATACATAGTAGGACCTTGACTAAAAACACCCCCCAAAAAAGAAGTTTACTTTAAGCTATTGGCAAGACATCTTAGTAGTAACATTCTGAAGGTAGTGAAGATGTAGAATTGAAAACAAAGATGAAAAAAAATTGTTTTAAAAAATTAATCATAACTGGGTGTGGTGGCATACACCTGTAATCCGAGCACTCAAGAGGCAAAGGCAGGAAAATCACCTTGAGTTCAAGGCTAACCTGGGCTATAGTGAGTTCAGGGTCAACCTGAACTACAAAAAAATAAAAATAAACATAAAGCAAAAAAGCAATAAAAATAATCATAAAGCATTTAAAAAAAACAAACCATGAAATTTGAATATGTTTCTGTATCATCTTTCCTGAAAATCAATTATGGTTCTCCTTTACCCAAAATATTACTCCAACAGCATTTAAATATATTTTAGATATATTCCGTGATAAAAGATTAAACCCACAGATAATCTTATCTGCTTATTGTGCCACTGCTCTTGTTCTAGTTTATGTTGCTTTTCATGAGTTCAGCTGTCATCAATCTACTTTGTAATTTGACATAATCAATGCTTCTGAACACCTTCTACATGCAGGTGGCTTTAAGATATATAATTTTTAAAGCATTATTTGCAAACAGCAAAAATTCCGTTAAGTGTGGGTCTATCGCGCAGAGGCCTTGAGTTCAATCCCCAGAAAGCTAACGAAATGAGAAAAAATATGATCACAAACTTTTTTTTTTTGGTACCGGGGACTGAACTCGGGTCCCTGTGCTTGCACGGCAGGCAGCCAAACCACTGAGCTAAATCCCCGGCCCCGATCACAAACTTTTGAACAACTTGTGAGAGGTTTCTTAGGGTTTCACTTTTTGGCAAGGAGGAAGATTTTGTTGTCCTAGAGATCAAAACCCAGGGCTTCACAAATGCTAAACACATTCTACCACTGACCTACACCCACTACACTTACCGGTATTTTTTTAAGCTCAAAAAATTTTTGTAAATACATCAAACTCAATTCAGCATCCTATCACAAGGTACACTATAAACTTTTATAATATGATGCTATAAATACTTGCAGTTACCATCATGAGCCTACAGACCAACACATTAATTAGTATCTTTAAAACACTAGAAATTTAAAATATGTAAGCTAAATGATGCCATGAGGTAACCCTCTGGCTCTGGCATCCACAAGCTCTTGCTTTAACACGTTCCTGCTGGCTTGAGCCACTCGTGGTACACCCATGACTGTCCTACTGAGCAGCTTGTACCACTGGTGGTAGAAACAGATCTACCCACTTTTATCAGTCTTTTTACTAATACAGTTAATAAAAAGTCACCCAATGGGACAGTCATGCACATACCACTGATAGTTCAAGTCACCTGGCAGCAAGACACACAGATTATGGCCCTATCATGAGTGTATTAAAGCCAGCTTCAAGACTCAAGTCCCAAGGCTTTGATTCATTTAATAAATTCTGAGCACCTACATATAATGCACCACAATCAAGAAGTTCCTGGATTTCTACGACTTTCAAATTGACCAGAGAAGTAAACAGACAATTAAAATAGGATTAGACTATTCACTGTATCACTTACTGAGAAAGCACTTAAGCCAGTCTACTATCTGGTGACCCAGGTGAACAGCATAGGGAGAAGAGCATTTCCTGCCCCTGTAACTTGCTCTTGTTCAATGTCTTGGAGGCTCCGAACTGCATCACACTGAGCAGTGATATGTGTATTACCAAGATGGCATGGTCACGCCAAAAGTAGAATTCAGACCTAAGCCTTGATTACTCAAACAGATTATGAAAAAACTGTAAGATCCAATAATCACATTCTTAAAACAATTCTTAAACATTCAATAAATCGTTTATTTGTAAATAAATAATACACATATGCTAAACCTAAAAATTTAGACAATCAAGACTACATTAGTAATCCATAAGCATATAAAATGAGACCCATTTTGCGGAGCTGAATGTTGAATAACATTACCTATGTTATCATTTATAATCTCAATTATTACCAATTCTGGTTATTTTCACTAAAGATTCTTATTAATTATAATAAGTGGCACATTTTTACCTACATAACATAGCACCAAATGTAAAAACTTCTGAAAGGGGAGAGAAACTAAGGATTGGTGTTTCGGAGTATCTACATTTTAAATATTAACTCTTTCACACACTTTTCTTCCTCTTTACACAAAAGGTACTAAGTAAGTTACATTTAAATGTCCTACTTATATTTCTTGCTTTGATATATATATTCATAAAATCTATGTTGTCTAAATTTTTAGGCTTAGTTAGAAATTTAAAATATATACTTTTATGGATATGACAGCTAATTGAAATAAGTTAGCACAATCATTTGAATTGGTTGTCTGCATACTGGGCAGGGCTTATTTCTTTTCTTTAGCTTCTTTGCACAGGTAAAACATGACATAAGATGTCCTGTTTTGCCATGAACAATGCAACCATTTTTAGGTCGACCTTGGCAAATCACACAAGGTTCAATGGCATTAAGGGGAAAACTAGATTCCACACTTTCTTCTTTCTCTTGTGTTTCTTCCTTCTCCAACTCCTTAACATCTTCCTGGCTGCTATTAATAATGCTACCAGAAGTTGATGGCTGAGAATAGTCCTCACTTTCTTGTGACTGGGAGGCTTGTGTGACTTTATCATTATCTTCATCAATACATGACTCTCTGGAATCATTTGTCGCAGGTTTTTTACCATCGGGCACATCCAAGCCCTCTTTTGCCTGTGTTGAGTTTTCGAATTTGGCTTTCTCAGGGAGTTCCCCCTTATCTTTCCCTTTATCTTCAGGAAGCCAATTCTCACGAAGGGCCCAACATCTGTTGCAATGCGACGGAAGGGGAGGATTCATTTCATTGCATGAAGTACACTTCCAATAGTCCTTCAATGAAGTAAGAGAATTAGTTTCTGTAACACTTTAATTACTAGTCACAGCAGAGCTAGCAATTTCAGTATGTCTGAGGTAAAATTTATCACAAAGATCAACTGTTAACATTTCAGATTTTACATAAAATAGTTAACAGGTATAACATGAGAACTACAGTTAATATTGAATACTGTTAAGTTTACCAAGAGTAGTACTTTCATCTCTCCTTACAAAAGGTAACTATGAGATATGGATGTTCACTTATTTGACTATAGGCCTAGGGTGAATTCCTCAAATAAAACATTATAAAACCATATTGTACACCTCAAAAATACAACAATTTTTAAGATTTTTTCAAAAGTCAACACTGGACCAGGAAGAAAAAAGTTAACATGCAACAGTCTCTCATCAAATACATGATTCTAAGTGCTTTTTTTTTTTAGCCTTACCATGCTGAAAACAATCCTAAAACTAAAAATGTATTTGTTGTGATATTGATGGTGTACCTATGAAGTTATCTGTTTGAAGACAAATGCACAGCTAATTCATTTAGTTAAATCAAGTGCTACAGGATCTTTTTTCCTCTGTACTAAAGCCTAGATCTACTTCCTTAAAGGCTTAATCCTAACACTGAGCTTAGACTCTACCCACTCAAGCTAGATGCATCCTGCCTCTCCCACCAAAAGCCTCCCAGCCCAACAGTGACTAGGACTTCTTAAAAATTAGTACTCTAAAACTGTGGTTCAACCAAGTGTTCTCTAACTCTAACCATAGGGCCAGAGATTTAGCGCAGCAGCACAGTGCCTGCCTGGCAAGCACAAGGTCCCAAGTTTAATCCCCAGTACCAAAAAAAAAAACAACCAAAAAAACCCAAAATCTAACTCTAACCATAAAAGAAATGCCAAAACAATTCTCAATGCCCCCTAAAACCTACCATCCTTGGTCCCGATTCAAAGTGTATGCCTTGTACTTCTCTACCCATTTCTGTATTCTTTTACCTGTAACTACTCAGGGCTTCTCTCTTATCCAACTGGGATGACAAACCCCCTCAAATCCCCACCTCTCTGCTGAACATACCCTTATTTCCTTTCTGAAATGAAGCATGATTCTTACCTGAAAAGATTTTACATGTGAAACTTGCAATAAAAGGGAATTCCTATTATCCCATGAATAATGTAGCTGTTTTTAGGATGCCCGACAACTGACATAACACAGTAGCAACAAGGGTCAGGGCTATTCTCACACTGATTCTTTTTAATTGTCAAAGGTGGTTTCCACTACCTCCTAAAATCAAAGACAAGAGTCTTGCAACACAAAAGAAGTGAGGTTTACTTCAAAGGGTCCAATAAGTTCAAATTCCCCACATAAAACTAATGTAGCAACAGATTCCTCAACAAATAAAATACACTACTTCAAATCGGTCAGACTTTAAAAGTTTTAACTTTATAAAAACCATCTCATAGGCAGATGTGGTGGTACACACCTCTAATGCAGGCACTCTTAGGAGCCTAAGGCAGGAGGATTGCAAGTCTGGGCAATTTAGCAAGACTCTCTCAAAATAAAATAATAAAGGGCTGGAGATGTCTCAGTGTGAAGGCCTTGGATTCAACTGCCAGCACCACCAAAAAAAAAAAAAAAAAACGCATTTCAGGGAGTAGATTAGATATATTTCTCTAATTTTAATTGTAGAGGTACTTTTAATTCCTTAAAAAAGTAGATATATACTTACAGCTAAGGAAATTTCAGGATCTTCTTCAAATGAATCTGTATCACTTTCCCCTGCCTGATACACAGTAACTCGATATACCTAACAAAACAAATTCATCAACATCAATTTATCACCTTTTTCAACCATGATGGTTTCTTAGTTCTAAACCCTAAACAAATGTGTTACTACTATGTATGAAAAATTCAGAGACAAGGTAAAATTGAGTGAGTGAAAAGAAAAAAAATAGGACAGTGAAATCCTCACAAATTATGGCAAAAGTCAACAGGTCGGATATTAAAAATAAAATATTCATGAGAAGTGTATTTATATAGATATTAAGTAACAGGGAAACAGCTAGAAATGTTAACACAGGAAACAGATGTGGTGATACTACTTGACTAATTATGTGCATGTTTTTTACAAAAAGCAAATTAAAATTGAAATAGGGGAACTGAAGTAAATATTTTTAAAACAGATTATTATAAGAATTCAACATTAGTATTATAAAAATAAATCAGGCTATAAGGAACTATGAAAGCCTCAAATCCACAAACCAATATTCTAGTTTGAATAAATAGAGAGGCTAAAATTTCAAGTGAAATCTGAATATACATCTTCAATCTCATCAAAATCAATGAACATAAAAAAATATTTAACAACTTTATAATATAATTAAAGAAAAAAAATTACCTCATCATCTTCATCTGAGAGGTCTTGTCCTTCTTCACTAAGACTATAATCTTCTGAGTCAAGAGATTCAACTTCAAATTCTACACTGAATTGATCTGAAACTGAATCCTGATCCAACCAATCACCTGAATGTTCACTTACACCATCATCCAGATCCTAAAAGGGAGTTAAAAAAAGTCAACTTAATACATATGACCTCTTGGCCTCTGTACAGCTTCCTACTCACAGTCCCTCTTATTTCCTCTTAAGATTCATACTATACACTTGTACTAGATTAAAGTTTAAGGTTATATTATTAATACTATTTTCCCTGCTAAAAATCTCAATGCATAAAGAAAAAGGACAAAGCCCCTTGGCACAGATATGCATACAGAATAACTACACTAACATTTTCATCTCTCCAACTACATATCCTTTCCTCCCGTACTAAATAGGGACAAGTACAGCTAGATCTAGCCTGTTTCCTAAACCAATATTGGACACTTCAATTTCTATCCTTATCCTCACTGAAATAACTTAACAGTTTCTAAACCTTACAAGGTATGATCAAAAAACCTAGTGAATGTTTAAGATTTTAAAATGTCTGACGTAAAAAACATGTTGTCATTAATCCTCCTCAAAATGCCTGTCCATCACCTCAAATACTTTTATCCCATCTTTCTCGCCACGTTCTGAAACAGTTCTGGAAATCCTCTTCCATGTGTTTAGCTGTGTTTTCGTGACTGCCCCAATGTCCTGAATCGATTCAAAACATTACCTTTCATGATCATTTTAACTTTGGGGAAGAGCCAGAAGTTGCACCATGCCAGATCTGGCGAGTAAGGTGGATGAGGACACACTGTAATGTTTTTAAAAGCCTGCCTTTCTGTTAAATGGTACTCAGCAGCAGCATTAATCACACCTCTTACACATCCAAAAGGGAACTTTCAGAACTGCTTCAGAAAGTAGCAAAAATGGGCTGGGGATTTAGCTCAGTGGAGCCGCGCCTGCTTCCCAAGGACAAGGTTCTGAGTTGGAATAAGGAACAACGGAATAAGGGTGTTCAAAGCAAGGGGGAATATTCTGAGAGGGACTAATGGCAATGTGTCTTTATTGTAATCATTTAAAACATTCACCATATGAAAGAGCTCTTCCACTTTATTCACACTGCTAGTAAGACATACATACAAATTTATTGTTTTTTAACGAACTCTGAAAATAACTTTTTTTAAAGACAAGTTCACATTAAGTTGCCCAGGCTGTACTCAAACTTGAAATCATTCTGCCTCTGTCTCTCAAGTAGCTGGGATTGTAGACACACGACCATGCCCATCTTGAGAATTTCTTCTATAAAGTATCCAAACTCATTTTATTTTTAAAATTTGATATCTGCTCATCTTATTTCTCATTTTAGGATTTAATAAATTATATAACCTAATAAGACCATCAGGCCCCTCACATTTGCTATCCATAGCTAAAGGCAGGATGTATACTAAGTAGAAGGCTACAACTGAAAAAAAAAAAGTACGTAACACTGGTCTAGGAATCAGGATACAAACATTATTATTCGCAATTAGCGAGCAGGTAGCTATTTAACTATGGACATATAACTTCTAAAGACGCCGGGGATTTAGCTCAGTGGTTCTGCCACCTGCCTTACAAGCATAAGGTCCAGAGTTTGATCCCCAGTACCAAAACAAAAATTAAAAAAAAAAAGTAAAATAACTTCTAAAGGCTACAGCTATTCCATCTATAAAAGGAATTTGAATTAAATGATCTCTATCATTTCCAAAAACAAATAAAGGATTATTATTTGATAATTTCTGAAGTCAAAAACTTTTAGAGTGGTATTAGGAAAACAAGGGCCAGGAATTTAGCTCAGTGGTTCTACCACCTCCCTTGCAAGCGCAAGGTCCTGAGTTCAATCCCCGGTACCAAAAAAAGGGAAATAATGATATTAGGAAAACAGTAAAATAAACGTTCATCAAGATGCAGTTCAAGACCTCTACTGATAATCAGAACAGAATATAGTAACATCTTTAATAAAAGTAACCCAACAAACTAAAGTTTTCAATTAACTAGTCTTTAGTGAATGCACATTAAAATAATGGGCAAATCAGAAGAAAAATTAAATCTTAGCATGTTCTTACGGCAAAGGTTTGAACACCTATCAACAGTCTACTCAAACTGTTATTGAACACAGCCTTGTCCACTTGTTTCCTGTTGTCTATGGCTGCTTTTTTGTCACAACACAGTAAAGAAGCTACAACAGAGGCAGATGGCCCAGAGCCCAAACACATAATAAACTATCGGGTTTTTAGAGAAAACTTGCCAGCTCCTACTGCAAGGTACAATGAAGAATGCAATATTGAGACAAAAGTTTTGGCTAATTTTCAAAAAAGGAATGACATAGAAACTGTTATATTCTAAATATTTTTAAAGGATTAGGTAGGCTTCATCTAGAAAGATCTTTGACTTTGTAGACAGAAATACCTAGCTGTTTCAACTGTGATAAGTATTTAATTGTAGAAACCTTAAACAAGTTCTTTTAAACCTCCAAATCTTAGTATCCCCATTTGAGGTTTTCATTATACTGGTGGCCCATCTCTCATGAGGGCAGGAACCGTATCTACCACTGCATGCTGAGCATCAAATATGAAGCCTGGCACAGAAATGACTTAAGTATCTACTGTTCTCAAACTGAGTAAGCAGGAGCTCCCCATACCATCTACAGGCTATATAAGTAATAGCTCTTTGAAATACTCTGGAGGGCCCATCTATACTCATACAAACATTATACTGGAAGAAAAAAAAAAGGATGTTACTGAAAGTAACAAAAATACATAAGTGTCAGAACAGTGTTAACTATCACAATTGGCTCAGTTTCCTATATCTTCTAGGGAACCGTAAAATAATCATGAATAGCTAGAATGACAAGACACTACTCTATCACCAAAGTGCTAATTTTAAAAACACTTTAAAGACAAATGTTTAAGGATAAGAAAATACTCAATTTGTCAAGCATTTTTGTATGAGTAATCAGAAATTACTGATATTCTATCACCCAAAGAATATGACCACATTCCACACAAGTAGTAATAAACAGACCTTCCCTGATGTGTACACCTACATATGACAGATTCAGACTTGTTTGCTGATGCCCATTATAAGTTTTGCTACTGTTTGCAGTGCTGAGTATTGAACCCAGGGCCTTATGCAAGCTAGGCAAGTACTCTACCACTGAGTTATACCCCCATCCCCTAAGAGATATTTTCACTCTAAATATTCAAGATAAGTTTGCCTGGGAATCCTAAGACATAAAATTGAACCAAATTTCCAGTTTCATTATTTTTTTTTAAACGTGTAACTTCGCTCAGATTCCTCTATACACCAACATATCTGAATTTACTAATGGTGCAGTGTTTCATAAAGACTAACATATAAAGTGATATAAATAACTATGAGTATTTATCAGAGGATGGTGTGCATGCCTGTAATCCCAGCACTTGGAAGGCTGAGGCAGAAGGATGCTGACTTCAAGATCAGTCAGGGGTTCATAGGGAGACCCTGTCTGAAAACAAACAAAAAACAATGAATATTTGTACCAATGTTCCTAATTCCAGTGCTATTCCACTACTTTCCACTCTTCTCCTAAACCTGGGGTTGGAGGCAGAGAGATCTAGATAACTGATCTATCTGCAACTAAAATCTACCACTGTGTTCAGTAGCAATCTCATTATCATACATGTGCATTCTGTCTGCAGGCATATTAGGACTGTGAGGCCTACACTGTAAACATGAGAGCCTTATTTTATTTAAAACAAGAACATTACCAGATTTGATGGAGTCTCTGTCGATTCACTGCTGTTACTTCTTTCACAACATAGCTCCCTTATCACACACAGAGCCAGGCTTTCATCAAAGGAAAGAGAAATACTATCTGACTTGTGGCGTTTTCTTTGTCGTTCACCAGACAATTCATCTGAATTTTCTTCTAGATATGCAAGGGAAAAAAGGGTAATTAAGCTGCTGTACTGTGACTGATTTAGAAATTGAAATGTCTTGACTTGGTAATAAAAGTTTCAATAAATTTAACAGAAAAACAGCAAATCACTAGTAATGTTTCAAAAGTTAACACTGTTTTATTGGATCTGTCCAACTAAGAATTTACAGTAGAGTACTGTTTCATAAAGCTTTCCATCTGGGCATCACGGTACAAGCCTGAATCCTAGCTATTTAGAAAGCTGAGCGAGTAGAACTTATGTTTGAGGTCAGTCTTGCCATGTCTCAAAATAGTTTTAAGAAAGGGTTGGGGATATAGCTCAGTGCTCCCTGGGTTTATTCCTGAAGTACTGGGAGAAAGAGAAAGAAAAGGGGTCGGGGAGAATTCCAATCTGCTTTTAGAACTTTATCTCATCACAGTAAATTTAAACCATTTAGAATTTTTACTAATCAATCTACAATTTTCCCATCAAAACCAAATTTTGGAAAATACAATTTCTTTTTTTCTTGAAATGTTTGATTTATGTAAAAAGTATTCAAGTTTTTTACTGGCTTGCTTGTAGTGCTGGGGATGGAACCCAGGGCCTGGCACATGCAAGTCAAGTGCTCTATCACTGAGCTATATACCACCAGCCAAGAAGGTATTTTTATTGTTTTAATCTTCTCAGTAGTCTATTTTGTTTTAAAATTCAGGGTCTTGCTATGTTGTTCAGACTGGCCCTGAATCTCTGGGGTAAAGAAATGCTTCTGCCTCAGCCTCCAAGCAGCTGGGACTACAGGTTTGCACCACTGCATCTGGCTGGTACCTTGTATTTTCAAAGGAAGTCAAAATCAGTCAGAATTGTCCTTTTTTTTTTTTTGGTACCAGGGGTCGAACTCAGGACCTTGCGCTTGCGAGGCAGGTGGCAGAACCACTGAGCTAAATCCCAGCCCAGAACTAACCATTTTAAATAATAAATTAGCTCTGACTTAAAAAGTCAGAATATAACCAGGCATGGCAGCACACCTGTAATCTCAGAACTTTGACAGAAGCTGAGACAGGAAGACTACAAGTTCGAGCAAGCTGGGCAATGTAGTGACCTAGCAAGATCATGTCTCAAAAAATTTTAGGCTATACATGGTGGTGCACATCTGTGATCCTAGCACTCAGAAGGCTGAGACAAGAGGATTGCTGTGAGATCAAGGTCAGCCTGGGCTACATGTAAGTTCAAGACCAGCCTGAACTACACAGTGAGATCCTATCTTAAAGAACAAAACAAACAAACAAAGAAAAATTTAAAAAGAACTGGAGAGGTAGCTCAGTGTGAAGGCCCTGGGTTCAAGCTCTAGTACTACTGAAAAAACAAAACAAAACAGTCAGAAATGTCAGTCGAATCTATTAGGTACAAATCAGAGTTCTACCTTATACTAAGGATAAAAATAAATTCTAAATAGAATTGGGATGTAGCTCAGTAGTATAGCACTTGATCAGCATGTGGAAGACCCTGGGTTCAATCCTCAGTATCATCCCCACCCCTCAAAAAAATTCCAAACAGATCAAAGAGCCAAGAGCCAAATATAAAGAACAAAAGCATCCAATTACCTGTAAAAGGTTTTGTTGGTACTGCTGCTGTTATTGGTTTTGCTGCTGTTATTGGTTCTTTGTTTTGTTTGCAATGCTGAGAACTGAACCCAGGGCCTTCACCACACTTGTTAAGCACTCTACTTTGTCAAAAAAAATATTCTTTTTGTTTTTTGGGCCATGTATGTGTGTGAGTGAGAGAGAAAGAGACAGACAGACAGACACACACACGCGGTAGTCTAGGCTGTCCCTGAACTCACTGTGTAGCTCAGGCTGGTCTTGAACTCAAGATCCTTTAGTCTCAGCTTCCAGAGGACTGGGATTCAGGTGTACACCACATTATGTCCAGCAAGAAAATACTATTTTAATACTGGTGTGTAGAATATAACATAACTTTGCAAAATGTTCAAGAAAGACTTATCAGGACTAGACCACAGGGGCTGGGAATGTAGCTCGGTGGTAGAGTACATGTGCAGTTTGCACAAGGCCCTGGGTTCAATCTCCAGTACCACCAAAAAAAATAGTAGTCAAATGGCTAAGTAATATAACTCAATTTATACTTTATGATCTCTTTCAGTACCACAAAAGAATAGAAACAGCAAGAGTAGAAGCAGAAAGAGAATCAGAAAGCTGGTGAGGGGTGGGAGGGAGTTCCAGGGAAGTGGTCCAAACAATGGTCTGGACTTGGGTGCCGATATTCTTTTATTACCTTATGGGGCTTGTCTTTAATTACAAATATTGCTGTAATTTATGTTTCTACAATCAAATCTTGGAATTTCTGATTATAATATTCCTAGGATAGATCCCCAGAAGGGGAGTTACTAGGATAACAGGAAGAACTCTGAGTCTGTCCATAATCTATAAGGATTTAACCATTATATCAAGTGATACACCAAGTTGACACACCAAGACACCTTGCTTGCATTTATTATCTGTGAAGCTAAAATTTTTTTAAAATCCTTTTTATTAGTCATTTATATTTACTGTGAAAAATAGTAACACTGAAAAGTGACTATCTTTCAAATACACTGTACTTTACCTTTTTTTCATTTATCTTTTAAATTCTTTTGGAATTCATCTTGCCAAAAGTTATAACAACTTGATTATTTTGCACCTAATAACTAAGCATTTGTTCTAGTTTCACGTATTTAACAAGATATTTTCTAATGTCCTCTGTTATCATGTGTAAGATTCTAGCCTTGGTTTCTCTATATTCTACTTCACTGATCTGAACTTTTTTCCAACTAATTCATAGTTTTAGCTATTATAACTTTTGATCATGCAACAGCATTTTTCCACTTGTCTCTTCTCTGGAAAAACATTCTCAGCTATTTTCTTTACCTCTTCATTTCTAAGATGCTATTTAGTTTATCTGATTTAAAACCTCCCTTATGTTTTATTTATTAAAAACAATCATTAAAAATTTTAAGTGTTATGGTAACTAAGAATATAGCTAAAATAAAGAGTTTATATCCTTCTCCCCATTATCATGGTAATAGAGAGCTGGGTAACTATATAAACTCCAATGAAGCAGAGTAAACTGTGCCTATAGTCAGAAAAAAAAATGCTGTTAAAATTGCAAGTATAAATTAAATAACATAATATGAAACCAAGAAACTCATTCAACTAAACCAGAAAAGCAAATTTCATTATGCTTAAAAGCACTAATTTCATTAGAGAAAGAACATCAAACAACCATTTACTGTGCCAAATAAATACTCATATATATATATATAAAAAATATATATATTTAGATATAGATATACCTGTCTCACTAATTGCTCTCCTTCTAGATGAGGTAGACGGCCTAGAAACCAAATCTGAAGATGAAGGTTTTTCTTCTTGTAGCTCTTGCTCTTGCCCAGGGTCCTAAGCATTCAAGAAACCAGTAATATATGACAAATTAAACTTAAAACACTAGGAAGCCAAAATTTTTAAGAAACATACTAAAATAAATTTGAAGATTACCTTTTGTTCACTCTCATCTTCAAGGTGACACCTGCTCTCACTCACAGATGTGCCAGAGTCTGATGGTTCTGAAAGAAAATAAAACAGAATCACAGACTAGGCTTGTGAAAGGAACAATCCAAGAGGAAAAGATGACAATCCTAAATATACATGCACCAAATACAAACGCCCCCAACTATACAAACAAATATTAATGGACATGAAAAACCAAATAAGCACTAGTACAACTGTAGTGGGGGACCTCAACACCCCTCTATCACAAATAGACAGATCAACTAGGAAAAAAATTAACTATGAAATTCTAGAACTAAACGAAGCTACTGAACAAATGGACTTAATAATGTTTACAGAGTGTTCCACCCCACAAAATCAGAATACACATTGTTTACAGCTGCACACGGGTTATTCTCCAAAATAGATCACATGCTAGCTCATAGGACATATCTAAGTAAATGTAAAAGAATCGAAGTTATCCCCTGTATATGATCAGACCATAGTGCAATACAATTGGAGATCAATAACATAAGAAACCACAAAACACCCACAAACACATGGAAATTGAACAACACCCTCCTGAACAACCAATGGGTCACAGAGGAAATTAAAGAAGAAATTAGTTTCTAAAAGTAATGAAAATGCCAGGACAACATACAGGAATCTGTGGGACACAATGAAAGCAGTTCTACGTGGGAAATTCATAGCAGTGAATGCCCATATTAGGACAACAGAGAGAACTCAGTTAAATAACTTAATGCAGACCCTCAAGCTCCTAGAAAAAGAAGAGCATAACAAACCCAA